TGTTCTCCACAAGCCATGGCATTTTGTTCATACTTTATTTTTTCTCTCTGTGGCTGTAAAGTGTATAATTGAGGTTAATATTTTGGCAAACTGATATATCAACAATCAAACACCAAGATTTTGAAAGCAAAGCATTCTTTCATGAGTTGAAACATAACTGTTGAGTAAGTAGTAGCAAGAAAGTATTTTCTCTATAACAGTGTAGAATGAGATGAATAAAATTATGTTTACCAGAATTTATTTTTGTTAAAACAGTAAATTTGCCTGGAAATAATGTTTTATGTAAGAATGTGTGTGTGTGTGTGTGTGTGTGTGTGTGTGTGTGTGTGTGTGTGTGTATCTTAGTGATAGTAAATAAAAGACAATTTAATATTTGAGGGCTATCATGATAAACATCCTTTGATTTCTTTCCTGTTGAACAACAACTATATTTGACTGTAAGAATATGTTTACTTGATTATATAGTTTGCTTTATTTGTCTGTATAACTTTAATTAGCTCATGTAAAATTGATAAATAGGGTAATGATATCAGTATGATGTGGAATTTACAATTGTTATATACCTTTCTTTGAGCACGGTATCATTTTGCACCACCACGTGACAGTAGCTGAGCGCAAACTATACAACATAAACATGGAAAGATATAAGCTCTTAATATACACTGTATTACATCTATTTTTAGCAAGCTCATTTTGCCATGTTTTCTGTCTTAGAAATGTATTTTGTTTAGTTTCTCCTTATCTTAGTTAATTTAAGCGCTGGAAAATCATTCTTACACACATTTTTATCACCCTTTATTCCCCCTTTTTTAAAGAAGGCACAACTGTATTTTCTGTTGAATTTTTTATTAGAAACATATATTAACGGTATTAGTATTTTTATTATGACTATTGCCGATTTTGTTAGTAATCACAATTGAGAGTTGTAAATATTTTAACTAATCTTTCCATAACTTTATGTTTTTGTAACACTGCATTTTCATAGTGTTGTTTTTTCAGAAAATGTGTCTCATGCATATATCATGTTTTAGCAGAAAAGCTTTAATCTGTACAAGTGACTAAAAGTTTTTGATGTTGCTTTAGAATTATAATTTAATAGTATACTTAATGTGTTCTCAATATTTTTTGGGAATTTGACATGTTATTTATTACATTTATTCTTCACAATGTCCTGAATAGATATATACTTTTGTGAACCTTCATTTATTTTTGTTTTTATTATTTGTTTCACAGATGAGAACACTAAGATTCATGGAAGTAATTTACTTGAGATTAATAAACCAACAACAGAGTATAATCTCAGATTTTAAACACAGTGAATGTGTGCACAGACTTTGGCAGTTATGCAGCAATAAAACACCTTCTCATCAGAGAGGGAAAGGATTATAAGTAACAGTTTCACATTTAGCTAAAATCATGGTAAATATAAGTACAAATACTTTCATTCACACACACACACACACACACACACACACACACACATACATATATATAACCAATTCTTCCATACGAAGGCCATGTATTTATTTGAATCTTACAAAACCACATCACACATTCTTCTGTGTCATGCCGTCTCCTAATCACTGCATCAAAATGATCCAGAGTCCCTGTTCTCGTGGAGATTTCGCAACAGTAATGAGAAATGTACACTAAAAATCTTAATAGACACAAGTAATTTCAGATAAAAATACCAAAACAGGGAATTGGGGAAAACAATAACCGGGAGAAAATACTAGGATCCGCTCCATCTGGTAGTATTTTATGAGATTTTTGGGGTGTTGCTTTTCTGGCTGGAAACCTGTGGCTATTGATGCCTTTGCTTGAGTTTTGCTTGGGCCTGCTGGGCTCATTCTGGCAGGTTGCACTCAGTTCACGCAACTGTCCTGGATCCCACGACTCCAGAGGAAACTGAAGTCAGGTGTGGAGTGACAAAAGTGTGTGAGTGATCAGGTCACTGAACAGTCAGACATACTGGCTCCTGCCACAGAGTAGGCACCTCCAGGTGCCAGAATGGGCGTTAGCTCTCTGTGAGGCTGCAGACAGACCAGGCACATCACAAGCTGTTTCCCCAGCTGTAACCGGGGAACGTTGTGGCACCCAGAAGCTTAGAAATGCCGGGAACTGCAGGGCCCCAAAGAGGAAGTCACAGCCCTGGCTCCGAAAACTCCCAGGTCTGGGATCCCTGAAGGGGTGCAGCTCTTCTCTCCTCTTCACCTGCAACGTACTAAGCCAGGGGCACGTTTCAGCCTCATTTCTTTCTTCTCTTTCTTTCTTTCTTTCTTTTTTTTTTTTTTTTTTTAGACGGAGTTTCACTCTTGTCACCCAGGCTGAAGTGCAATGGTGCAATCTGTGTTCACTGAAACCTCCACCTCCACCTCCCAGGTTCAAGTTATTCTCATATTACAATATAAGTTCGTATTATAATATTATTCTCATGTTTTTGGAATCCTCTCATTGAAACTCTAATAGCATTCAACTAATAGTGGTGTCAAGCTGTAATACTTCCAGGACACCTGTCCCTAGAGAAAATAACCCACTGGAGAAGCATCCATTCAATTTATGTAGCATAGCTTAAAATCCCCAAGAAGGTAAACTTACAATTTAAATTTAAAACATCATATAAGAACTAATTCACCATCAGAAAGTGTCAAGGGACATGATAAATAATAGAATTAACTTCAGAGAACATTAGAAATATGGAATCTCATAGGAAGTCAGCTAAATCACTTACCTATGATTGGAAGATTTAAAATAAAGAACCAAAAATACGAGAAAAACATGATATTACAAATACCTACAGGCTTTTTTGAGAAATAATCAAATAAAATTGATTGAAATAAAGCATTTTATCCCTTATGATTAAAATATAATGGAATGATAGCGTAGCCATACAGAACAAACAGAACAAGTAGTCAGTTAAAGGATGAGCCAGAGGAAACTACTCAGAAAGCAGAAAGATAAAGGGATTAAGAAAATGTGAAAGATACATTAAAAGAAATAAGGACCAAAATTAGACAATATAACGTGTTCATAGGCATCCACCAAAACAAGCAAAAATGTTTATTAATTGCAATGACAAACTATATACAGTACTGTAAAATAGTATAGCAGAATCCTGAGTTTTCCTTCAAAAATTGAATAAAAATTTTATGTATCATTCTGTGGGCTTTTAACATTTATTATACTAGATGCTACCTTTCAAATATTTGTTCTTTAAAAAGTGCTAATAACAGTATATCAACTTGACTTTTCACATCATGACAATATTTGGGATATTTATTTATTATTACTATTATAAATGCATTGAAAAGTTGTAATCAAAGCAATATGACTTTTAACCAAATAAAATTACTTGGCTATGGAAACTCATAGAGCTAATTATCCCTAAATAGCATCTATCAGGTGTGTTTTATGTTATGATTTATTATTTTTAGGAAAAGAACATATTTACTAGATAGTTAAATTTACTTCAGTGTATGCATTTACAGTACTCACACATAATAGATTTGAGAAGGTAAACATTATAATGTAATCTTAAAATTACCCACATAAATTTTTCATCTGATTTTCCTTTTTTCTTTCAGCTAGTTATAAATTATCTATTAATAAAGATTCTGTCCATGGCTTCTCGTTTCCATGAAGTATTCTCATGTGTTTCTACTCCTGAGTTATCTCTGCTTTCTCTCGTTTATTGTTTTGGGAAAAGAAAGAAAGAGAGAGAGAGAGAGAGAGAGAGAGAGAGAAGAAAGAAAGAAAAGAAAGAAAGAAAGAAAAAGAAAGAAAGAAAGAAAGAAAGAAAGAAAGAAAGAAAGAAAAAAGAAAGAAAAAGAAAGAAAGAAACAATAGAAGGGGAAGAAAGAGAAGAAGAGGAGGGAAGAGAACAAGGAGAAAAAAATTGTGAAAAATCTCTTTAAAAATACCATTCTTAGGCCTGGAGTGGTGGCTCATGCCTGTAATCCCAGCACTTTGGGAGGCCGAGACGGGTGGATCACGAGGTCAAGGGATCGAGACCATCCTGGTCCACATGGTGAAACCCCGCCTCTACTAAAAATACAAAAAATTAGCTGGGCATGGTGGCACGTGCCTGTAATCCCAGCTACTCAGGAGGCTGAGGCAGGAGAATTGCCTGAACCCAGGAGGCAGAGGTTGTGGTGAGCCAAGATCGCGCCATTGCACTCCAGCCTGGGTAACAAAAGCTAAACTCCTTCTCAAAAAAAAAAAAAAAAAAAAAAAAAAAAAAAAGTTTTTAAAAATTTATTACATATTTGGTAAATTGGTTTAAATTTTAATCTCAAAGTTAAGAATTAAATTTTTTAATGAAGACTTTAAAACTATATAGAATTTATTTAAAGATAAAAAAATTATATTCTTATAATTGTGACTCAACTATTAAGGAAGTGTATAATAAAGATGATTTAATTTTTCTATACAGATAGAATTATTAATGGTCTCTTTATTCTTAATGGCAGTATAAAGAGAAAACTTCAAGTGATATTTCTGCTGTGACCAATAAACTCATAATATTAAAAGTCAATGATACATATAATTCTGATAGACATCTTAGTATTTACTCTTAGTAGGAAAAATAACCCAATTTCAGATGCAAATATTAGATGAATTTTAAATCAGATTGAAGTCTTCGATTTTAAATCAAATATGTTCAAGTTTTGTATTGATGAAAAATTTACATAAACTGAAGTGCACAAGTCATAGGTCATACTACTTGATGCATGTCCAATCCTGAATACACCTATGTAACAAGTCCCCATCAAAAAGCAAACTTTACCACTTTTAAAGCTTTCCTCATGCTTTCTTTCAGTCACTATATATCATTGCTGGGCAGCACCCTACCAAAGGTAACCACTATTTCAACTTCTGACACTACATAACCCATTTAATTTACTTCCCAAGATCTAATCTGTATTCCCATGGAAACAGTTTGTTTCATAAGCTATGTTTACCCTTTTGCTGACAAGTAAATGTTATTTTTCATTGAATAGGTCCAAAGTGGTACCCTTCCCGAGTTGGTCTGCAGCTAGAATGTGGTAAGAAGCATTTTTCACTGATGCATTTATTTAATTTAGAATCTCCTTTCTATTTTCAGTAGCTGACATTTACTTATGTAGTAAATATGTAAATATTAATATTATTTAATTGATTCTCCCAACAAACCAGTGCTCCACTTTTATAAATAAAAAATTTAGTGTCAAAGAGGGATATTTTACATATTCACTGTCTGTGAGTTTTAGAAGCAGATTCTGAACCAAAATATTTCTGTCTGTTAAGATTTAACCAGTCGCATTCTCATTCTACTGTCCCGTAGTATATTTTTAAGGCTAATGCTTAGTTTTTCACTTATTTTATTTTATTTTATTTTTATTTTTGCTGTTATAAAACAGAGTAAGTGATATAAAGAACAAAAACTAAAGAATTTGGAGAAGCATTATATCCTCTGTTAAACCTCAAGTTTTTCAGAATTTTAAACCCTATGATCTTAAGAAATTTATCAATATATTCACTTAAAAATGGTTCTTACAAAGAATTACTGTTATTGACACTGCATCAACTTGAAAATTTGGAATTTTTAATTTTAATGAAAGCTATTGGTAGCATATAGTTTTTTGTTTTTGTTTTTGTTTTTATCAGGATACAGTGGGGATACTTAGCAAAAGCCTTTAATAGGAAATCTACAGGAGGTACCTCTTAGGGAATTTCAATCTCTCAATTTTTTCATAAATGATTAATTGAATTTTTTTTCTATTGCTCTTGCTAATATTTAGGTTGTCCTCTCTCAGATATTGCATGCACTTAAAGACAAATAATAATTTCTTTGATTCTCTCAAAATTGTTATGAGTGTTTTCATTGCTATCTTAATCATTGACTCTTTCTCTGAGACCTACATGTTAAAAACAGAGAAATATGCAAGATTTCTAGAAGCCACAGGTTTTTTTTTTTCTCTCTCTCTCTCAAATTCATTTTTCCTCAAATATTCAACACAAATTCCCACCTACCCAGAGTTTAGGAAAGAAAAATTATTGTCATTTATTTATGCCTTGGTAGGGCCTGGCATGTGTCAGCCTATAAAGGCCTTTCAATACATGAATGTTGACATATATGAAATGAAATTGACTCTTACACAAAGAAGTATCAAAGAATGTCACAGACAACATTGTCAAGTGTAGCTTCTGTTTGAAGGACACTCTAATGGACTGATAAATTTCTGCTTGTTCAGTGGTCTGGTGGAGAATCATTATATCCACTGTTAAATCTCAAGTTTCTCACAATTTTAAACCCTATGATGTCAAGAAATTTGGTGAATTGACACTTTCCTTTTCTTCTAAATTTACTTACTTGGTTTAGTGTACCAGGGTCAGGTATGAGATGAGTAAAATATAGGTGTCTAAGTGTCCTTAAAAAGAAATGTGATGGGTCAGGTGCAGTGGTTCACACCTGTAATCCCAGTACATTGGGAGGCTGATACCAGTGGATCATGAAGTGAGGAGTTTGAGACCAGCCTGGCCAATACAGTGAAACACTGTCTCTACTAAAAATACAAAAGTTAGCCGAGTGTGGTGGCATGAGCCTACTTGGGAGGCTGAGGCAGGAGAATCACTTGAACCCGGGAGGTGGAGGTTGTAGTGAGCCTAGACTGCACCAGTGCATTCTAGCCTAGGTGACAGTGAGATTCCATCTCAAAAATTTTTTTTTAAAAAAGATGTAATGATGTATTTTTTAAAAACAGAAAAGAATCAATTGACTTAGTGAGATATGGTGCAAAGAAATCAAAATCCAAAGTTTATTTGGACTGATTTGGAATTTTACATCTGATTAACTCTCATACTTACTTGCCCACAGGGTCTTCTTTTGCATGACAGAGATTAAAAAAAAAAAAAAAAAAAAAAAAAAAACACACATTGAATCTTTTTTAAAGTGTTAGATTATGTTTGTAATGCGTATGATGATTGGCACATGCTAGTTACTCCATCAATCAGTCATAACTATTAGTATTAACAAGAAAAAAAAGACAATACCAAAACAAAGCAGGGTCTTAATATTTATACATGTTTGCTCCAAAAATATATTTACTAGAATTGTTAATCTTATGCAAATATTAGCGACTTCTACAGTTTCTTCAAACAATAGAAATCTCTAAAACAAATAAAATAGCAACCATTGAATTTTCATGGGTAAAATTTTAACCAGTTCTTTAGCTCTGTGTCTCTGCTGAGCTGTGCTATATTTAACTGATCTTGGCTAGGCTCATGCATGCAGCTGCAGTCAGCTGCTGGACTGTTAGGGAATGATTGGTTTATAATGACCACAACTTTCATGAAATTCCCTTGGTTCTGTGTGGTCTGTCACTCCTTAGCAAAATAGTCTGCACTTACTCACAAGTTGGAAGTAGAAGTATAAAATTGAGCAGGGGTACTAAAGAACTGTTGAAGTCCAGGCTTGGAAATGGCAAATGATCACTTGTCCCACCAGTCACTAGTGAGCCCATATTCAAGAAGTGGTTATATAAGGACAGCTCTAAATGGGAAGATCTACAAGGCCATACTGTATGTACTGTAGACATGGAGTTAGTGAAGAATTTTCAGCTATTTTTACAATAAATCTGTTATATAATCTGGTGAGTATAATATTTTGTATCTTCCTACCTTTGTTAATAAGCTTTATAATGTCCTGGAAGGACTGGGTGAAATTTCTAATGCTTAAAATTATTGTATTTCTACATAGAAAAAATAGGATTTTTTTTTTTCCATCACTGTTTCCCAGCAATACATCAAAGCTCCCTCCACATCCTTTATACAGTAGTCCTGACAAACCACTAGGTTTGAGATTGGTTGTATACCCAGTGCCTGGCCCATATTTGCCGGGGGACATCCAGAGACCGGGTTGTGCTTGTGTTAATTGGGGCAGGAAATTCAAGGCCTTTAAGTGGCTGAAACATGATCTAGAAAGATATGGCATGGAATCTAGTTAGGCATGTCCTGTCCTCTTGACCCCACATATTCCTCTCCCTTTGATAAAGGACATAATCACGAAAAGCCAAGGAGTCCCTGCTTCTTGAGACTGAGTGCTATAATTAATGGTACATCTGGATTTTGTCAGGTTGTGTTTCCAAAATGTCATATTGATGGGACCACATTTCAAAAATAGAATGCCAATGCTCTGTTCTTTGAAGCTGGCAAGGATGATAGAAGGGTAGAAACGAATTCCTTTTTTAAGGGTGGTGATAGATGTGTATTGGAAACATATTTTCAGCATTCTTCAAGTGATACAAAGTCAGCTGAATTTTTTTAACTTACTAACATTTTCTTGTTCTTATACACAATTATCATACTACTACTGACCTTTTGGATGTCAGAGTCTTCACTATGACCCTTGTTGCAACAGTTTTCTATTGCTGTGTATCAAATGCACACAAATTTAGCAGTACAAAAAAATTATCATTTATTAAATTGAAGCCATATTATGATTGGATTTTCTGATTAGGATATTATAAGAATGGAATCAGAGTGTTGGATGAACTGAATTCTCATGTGAAGACTCTTGACAAAAACCACTTGTGTTTTTGGAAAAGTTCATATTTTATGTTTGTTTGTTCTTTATAGTTGCATGAGAGAAGTCCCTGTGTTTTTGCTGGCTGTCAGTTCCTAAAGGCTGCTGTCTTTTCTCAAAGGCCACTTGTATATTTGACATTGATCAAGCCAGCAATAGCACAGTGAATCTTCCCAATAAACTAAATATCTAAATTCCTCTGTCTCTGATTTCTACACACAGATTGTAAAAATTCATGCAATAAATCAGGACTACCTAGAGGATCTTATTTTTTAAAGCCATGCAACATAACTTAATCAACAAAGCAACAGCCTATCATATGCAGATCCTCAGGGATTATACAGAGGGCAGAAATCCTGGGGATTATCTAAGAAATCTGGCTACCTCATATGTATTCTTAGGTAAATACATTCACATTTTCAAAGCAATGTCAAATTATCTTTATATGTAATTAGATATATACATATTTTACAAATAGTAATCAATTTACATGAAATTTCTAAAATATAATTATGAAATGGTTGCCATTAATGTATCCAGATAACCATATAAATATAACCACCTAAATCATCTGGCTATTAAAAGCAGATTTATCAAGTTACTACCTTCAAATGTAATATACAATTGTATGTTTTTCATTTCACTTTAAAAAACCTAGTCATCTAATGGTAGATACATATTAACATTTTCTTATTTATTTCAAAATAGAGACTGGAATGATGCCTTTAATTATGTAGGTAATATAAATCACAAAGCATGCTAAGTATAACAATAATAATAACAACAATAATAGGATCATATATGAGAGATTAATCCATTTTGGTATATGAGTTCTAGTCTACTCATTTTTCTTCCTGCTTTGTATACATTAGTTTAAATAAAACAAAATGTATTTATCTTTTAGGTTATTAAAGAATAAGTTTTCTTCAAATATTTTATTATAAATGCTATAAAAGGACATTTTTGTACATTATCTTCCCATATTCACATTCCAGACTTGTCTCATGGTTATTTTTAAGAATGGAATTAATTCTGTTTATTTTACATCTATTTTATGAGCAGCTCCTTTCAGTAACCATTGCTATATCTTTGTCTTACTATGTCTAAGGCCTGTAATACTAGAGACCTTAGTGTGGTCTCATTTCCTTCTTTACAAAATGAATACATAAACAATCTCAGCAAGCCCCATAGTTTTAAATGTTAATGACTTTCAAATATTTACACACACTTCCAGCCGGCTGCCTATTTGTCAATTCTTTCTTGAATATCTAAGATATACCACACACTTAAAATACCTTAAGGACTCTTAATTTTCACCACCAAATCCTGCTTTTTCTGTAGCCTTCTTCATGTCAGTTAATGAGATTACAATGCACTTAAGTACTCTGGTCAAAATCTAACTGTCTTTATCTCACCGAATCCTCTTCTCTCAATCAGTTTCTCAACAAGTTGAATTTAGGCTACATTCAAAATATTTCTACAATTCATACATTTTAACATTTTCAACAGCACAACCTTAATCTAAACAAACATCAGCTCCAGCTGGATTAATTTTAAGTGTTTCCTAAATAATCACCTTTGTTTCCCTTTTTTTCTATTTTCACACAGCATTCAGAATATATTTTAAAAAGATAAATTACGGCATTCTTCTAGTGCTTTAGAGGGACAATCCATCCATCCACCAATAATTTATCCTATTATAAAATCATTTAGAAATTAGTTGAGATGCAGTCCTGCTAACACTCAAAATTACACTTTTTGTTATTTTGTTTTGTTTTCATTTTGAGACAGGATCTCACTTTGTGGCCCATACTGGAGCTCAGTGGTGTGACCACAGTTCACTGCACCATTGACCTCTGTGGCTCAAGCAATCCTCCCATCTCACCTTCCTGAACTGCTGGACCTATAGGCATGCACTACCACGCCTGGCTAATATATTTTCTAGTTTTTGTAGAGACAGGTTTGCCTCTTCACTTTCCTGAGCTCAAGCGATCCGCTCACCTCGGCCTGACAAATTGCTGAGATTACAGATGCGACCCATCACACTCATCCTAAAAATTTACTTAAAAAAAATCTGGGATCCGGGCGCGGTGGCTCATGCCTGTAATCCCAGCACTTTGGGAGGCCAAGGCGGGTGGATCACAAGGTCAAGAGAGCGAGACCATCCTGGTCAACAAGGTGAAACCCCATCTCTACTAAAAATACAAAAATTAGCTGGGCATGGTAGTGCGTGCCTGTAGTCCCAGCTACTAGGGAGGCTGAGGCAGGAGAATTGCTTGAACCCAGGAGGCGGAGGTTGCCGTGAGCCGAGATCGCTCCATTGCACTCCAGCCTGGGTAACAAGAGCAAAACTCTGTCTCAAAAAAAAAAAAAAATCCTGTATCTTATTTGTTTAAGTCCTAAGAAATAATTCTCAGAAATAATAGGATAGTAGTAACTAATTGTGGTCTAAACTTTGGTTAGATGGTATTGGGAAACCACTGTGCATTTCAAAAGTTGCCAGATATATGTTATAAAACGGGATTGTTCACATTCTATTTTACTTTGAAGATTTCTTGTACATTGTAATTTTCATATTAAATTGAGCCTTAGCTTTTACTGATTTTACATTAAGAAGTTTTTTATCATTATGCTTTAAAATTCTATTAAAAGAACATTTTCTTATTTTTATTCTAGGCGGGCCTTTTTTGAAGGACCATATTACCATTCAAAGTATTGCAGCTTCCTCCATTGTCACACTGTATGTTACAGACCTAGGTCAACAAGTCAGTTGGACCACAGTAAGTGTCAATCTAGAATGTAACACGCATGCCTCGGGTTTTGCTCTAAATAATTCACGGACAGCCTATTTCTGCCAAATAAAATAATAGTGAAACAAAATGTACTGAATGCTGTTTTAAATTTTCTATTCTTACTATGACCAGTGGCCAAAGTTCTACTTATGTATTGGAGAAATAGAAAACCACACTTTTGAAAAAGGAAGGTAAGTTCCTTTTTAAAATATCAATCCACTCTAGGACTGAGAGCTTCAACTCTGTTAACAAAATACCAGGGGTTCAGTCTAGGTGCTGCTGCTCCCTAGAAAGCCATTGACTCTGATGACAAGTATTGCCAAGGAAGAAGGCTTCAATGGGGTGCTGCAGCCAAGGAGATGGGAGCTCAGTCTCAAATCCACCTCCCTGACTAAAACTAGGGGTTTATATAGCAGGGAATACATGCTACAATGTGTTAGAAAACAGGTTCTAGGGAGGGACAAGAAGCCATCTGGTGGGGTGATCTGATGAGTTTCAGTTCTCTGATACTTTTTTGAGAGGGCTGAAGGTTCTTTCCTGAAGAATGAACTTAGGTAACACAAATAAAAGTTTCAAACTTTAGCAGTAGAAGGATCAATTTCTACATTTATCCCAAAACAACTATCTATGGGACTATTGGACTGCTTTCATCTGCTTTCCCCTGTGCTTTGTCATTCACATAGCATCTTTTTACCTTTTCCTTCTAGTCATCTAGGGACATCATAGACCCTTTTGACACTGGAGAGAAGAGTACAGAATATCTGTTAAAAAGGAGGTTCTCAGGCAGAGAAACAAACTTTTGGCAACAGATCATGAAAAAGTAAACATTTTTTAGCCTGTGAAAATGTTCTTGTGGCTCCTTTTGGGGGAAAATAGCAGATCCTTAAATGATAGTATCTGGAAATGGCATTAGAAGAATGAGGACTACATAGAAAAGATACGGAGGGTTAAGAGGCAGTGAAAATACTTGGTACTAGTACACAGTACTGAAACATTCATGGGTAATACAATAAATCAGTAGAATACCTTCAGCATCAAGAGGAAATGTTAATATGATATTTAGTAACAGAGGCAGTGAAATAATTAACAAATAGTTTTGATGTACAAAGAATGGTGAGCTTCATTTGTTTTAATAGCATTAAACTTCTGTTATGTGTATTGTTTAAACTATGAAAGCTTTTTCTTTGCTGTTACATTCTACTCCATATTTGTGATAACTTTTAATATTTTCTATTCAAAATGGCTTTTCTTTTTGCCAGAATTAACAATCCGCATTACCATTCATCCTGATTTGAGCTGTTTCTTTAAAATTAAGCAATTAATTTTTGTAACTATTACAAAGGTATGAAAATGTATATATTAATATTTAATTTTTAAGCATAATCTCACAAAATTTAATTTTAAATTTGTTAAGTAAAATATTGCTACATCTGTTAATATTTTCTAACAATCTTTCCTTGTAAGATATATTTCCTGGCCAGGCACGGTCGCTAACGCCTGTAAATCCCAGCAGTTTGGGAGGCCAAGGTGGGTGGATCACCTGAGATCAGCAGTTGGAGACCAGCCTAACCAACATAGAGAAAGCCTGTCTCTACTAATAATACACAATTAGCCTGGTGTGGTGGGTCATGTCTGTAATCCCAGCTACTCAGGAGGCTGAGGCAGGAGAATTGCCTGAATCCAGGAGGAAGAGGTTGCAGGAGCAGGGACCGAGCCACTGCACTCCAGCCTGGGAAACAAGGCAACAAGAGTGAAACTCCATCTCAAAAAATAAATAAATAAATAAATAAATAAATAAATAAATAAATAAATAAATAAAAATAAAAATAAATAAAATAAAAAATCTATTTCCTGTGTAATTACTATGTAATTAATTAGTTCTATTTTATGTTTTCATTAAATAGTTTATTTACTTTCGAAAGTATATTGAGCTTTTGAGTACTAATTTGTAGCACTGAAGATTGAGTTTAGAATTTATGAATTCTTATGAAGCATATTTTAATCTTTAGAAAGCAACCTATAGAAGATACATGCATTCCGCAAATTAAGTTTTTAATACTGTACTTAAATGTACTGTCTAGAGATCTTTGCTTAAAAAGATTTTAGAAACACATGTTTGGTCTTCAAAGGTTAAAATATTCAAAGGATCTTTGTCCACATTTACAATGAAAAGGGAATTCTGTTTACAGGAATTGTGTCAGAATTAGCAGTATTAAATAATTATAAATTTCAGCTTCATCACTTGGATAAGCATTGAGACAAAAACACACTAAAGTAGAGTTAGTTGACAATTGCACTAGAAAATTATAGCTCATTTGAGAGGAAAATCATCTATGTGACAAAGAGAACTCTGCAAATAGGCTGGATATTTTTAAATCAACCCTATGGTTCACATATCCTTTTCCTACAAATGAGTCAGTTCTTTTAAATACTAAAAATATAGACATTACATTGCAATCACACTCATTTTGTATCAACTAAATGATACACCAAAGGTAATATTTTACCACATATGATATTCTTGTGCATTGATAAATATAAAAGTTTGTTCCTATAATAAAATATTTCATAGTGTTGTGGAAGTAATTAATTTAGCAAGGTTAAAATTGAGATTTTAATATTTTTCTCCAACAAACAGTGTGTTACAAAATATTGAGAGAATTTTTCCTCATTTAACTTGCAAAAACTTAGGATAAAGGATTAATATGATAACATAATCCTCATTACATGTTATATGTTAAAGTTTTGCAGTTTTCACCATTTTTATATTAATTCTTGTGTGTATGTATTAATGTGTAATTCTATGTAATTTCTCCCTTAAGTTCCTCTACATACCACCAATGCCAAGATAGAGAACTGCTTCATCCTTAAGAAGAACTTCTTCATGTTATCCGTATATACTTACATACACTTTTTCCCATCCTAGAGTAACCACTGATATGTTCTTCATCTCCCTATTTTTGTCATGTGGAGAATGCTCTATAAAAGGATTCAAACAATATTTTGAGATTGATATTTACTTTTCTGTAAACATAGTTTCCTTGAAATCCATCTTGATTGTTGTATCAATAATCGGTTCCTTTATATTGGTGACTGATACTCAGTTATATGGATGTAATGAACTTTGTTTAACCATTTACTCTGAATTACATTTGAGTGATTTTTTAGTACTTGGCTTTTATAAATGAAGCTGCAGTGAACATATATGTAGGGGTATTTTGCCTGAACTTTAAAAAAAATTATCTGGGACACACTGTTGAGTTTTAAGTATTCTTTATATAATTTAGATTCGAGTCCTTGTGTATGTGGTTTAAAAATATTTTCTCTCAGTCTTTAACTTGTCTTTTCATCATCTTAACAGAACTTCTCACTGCCAGAAGTGTTTTCAATTTAATGCAGTCTAATTTATCAAGGATTCCTTCTAAAGATCATGCTTTTGCTTTCGTATGTGAGAATCCTGCAACTTAGCTCTAGCTCCTGGAATTTCTCGCCTGTGTTTTCTTATAAGAGTTTTATGTTTTGCATTTTTATGATAGTCTATTTTAATTGTAAATTCCACATTTTTAATCTCTAAATCTTATTTTCTTCAATTTGTCTCGTGTATTCTATAACCTTTTTTTTTTAAATTAATTGTCATTCTCTTTTTGTATTTCATCTGTGTTATTTGGGTACTTACATCTTTTATTTTACTAACTCTAGGAGTTACCAAAGAGGTTACAGTGCGTACCCTTGAGATATTTAACACTAATGTGCATTTTTACATTTGATTTTACTAATGTAAAAATACTTCATAAATAGTTGAATGACTTTATATTTAAGCTTCTCCTGAATCATCATTCATAGTTTTGGTATAATTTTCTATAAATGTTAAATCCAAATAAATTACTAAAATTTTATCTAATAAATATTTATTTAGATTTATTCTTTTTGCTGAAATTTAGTTATTTCTTCTAATGCTGAGTTTACCTCTGGTCTCCTTCTGCCTGGAAAACATCTTTAGAGTTTTATTCTACTTCTGTCATTGATAAATGATCTCCATTCATGTTTATCCTAGAATGTCCTTATTTTGGCCGGGCGCCGTGGCTCATGCTTATTATCCCAGCATTTTTGGGAGGCCGAGGCTGGTGAATCACAAGGTCAGGATTTCAAGACCAGCCTGACCAATATGGTGAAACCCTGTCTCTACTGAAAATACAAAAACTTACCTGGGAGTAGTGGTGGGCACCTGTAATCCCAGCTTTTCTTAACTCGGGAGGCCAAAGTTGCAGTGAGTCCAGATAGTACCACTGCACTCCAGCCCAGGTAACAGACTGAGACTCTGTCTCAAAAAAAAAAAAAAAAAAAAAGAAAAAGGAAAAAAAAAATTCTTGTTAACTTTATTGTTAAAGAATATTTTTATATAAAAATAAGTTTATATTGGCAGTTCTCTTTTATTCACTTTACAACACTTTATTGTTTTAATTTCTGAACTTCATTGTTTCTGTTGAAAAGTCAGCTATATTCCTTTGAAAGTGATCTGTCTTTTCTAAACAATTTTTACTTGGTTTTGTTATTAGTGATTTGACTATGATATGCACCATTACGATTATATTTCTATTTGTCTTGCCTTAGTATTGTTGGTGGTTTTGTGTTTGTGTGTGCATGAAATTTGATATTTGAAAAATTAGCTACCATTATCTATTCAACTATTTCTTGTCCATTATTCTCTTTAAATTCTCCTTTTAAATTTTATATTACATTTTCATAGTTTTCAAAGTTTTTGCATACCTGAAAATCTCAACTTTATCTTTTATTTAACACATAAAACATAGTTTTTATTAAAGTTTGTGTCTAATAATCCTGTCATGTGAATCTTCTTTCTCTCTCTCTTTCTTTCTTTCTTTATTTTGCTATTTCTCTTGGTTTTGCTCACAATTTGTTCAGTCTTTGTATACCTGCATATTTCTAGGTGCAGAAAATTTATGTGAAAAATTTTAATTTTAATGATAACTAAGTCCTAGGGTGATTTCTGTTTTCTTTCAAAGGTAGGTTACCATCCTCCAGATGAATGAATTGCATTATTAGGTCCAAATCGTCTTGATCCAATCAATGATTGAAATGATTTTAGACTGAGCTTCAGAATCTGTGGAGATAGTTTTATAAGGCCAACTTCATCCTTTATGGATGATGAACAACAGCTTTTGTTTGTTCATTCCTAGGCCCCATCAAAAGATCTGCTCTTCTTCTCAGGTTCATATGGGGCTTCATATGCAAGGTTCAATCTCTTCCTGCTGCCGTTTTAAAATTCTCAACCTTCGAATTCCTCAATCACATTATATTTCTGAGGGCTAAAAAAAACTTTTTAAAAATATTTTGATCAGTGTTTCTCACTAAACTCATTAGTTTTCTGTGTTTGAATTATCTAAAATAAAAATCTCCATCATATGTTATTTATTTGACAAACTACAAACACACAGACACACAATCTTTATTTAGCATGATAATGACTTCAAAAGTATTCATTAAGTACAAAGTGATATTACTGTATTACAGCTGAGAAATGCTTCCAGATAACACCCTTGTCTTCAAGAGATTAAGGTTAAAACTACTTTGTTTTCAAGAATTCTGAAATACATATTTTTTAACTGCCAATAGCAATTTTAGAAAAAGAGACAGTAAGTCCAGCGACACCCTAATAATGATAGCATTAATTTTTTTTTCAAGATAGAATGAAATGCATTAAGCATAGTTTAAGCACATGGTTCCTAACCAATTCAACATTGCAGTTTCATGTTTCAGAGTATTTTTTAAGCAGATTATTCCCTTTTTCAATTTATACATATGTCACATTGAATATTCCACTGAGGTTTCGAAGACCCCCAAACTCCTTGCTTGCCTAGTAGAAGTAATAATTTTTTTTGTATTCAAAACAAAAGATTAGTCTAATGAATATGACTTTTTCGAAAGAGAAAATATTAATGTATGTAATAATATAAATAAGTTGGAATTTCAATATAGTGTTTTTCTTCAAAATAAGAAAAAAATAAGGTGTATGTGCCTCTTTAGAATATAGAATCTTCAGTAGAATTTTGTATTATAGGAAAGTTTCCAGTCTTTTTAAGTTCTTGTGTTGGACTTGGTCTTTATATCTTTGTATCTGTTTACTTGATTGCACTTGATTTTGATTTTGTTTTACTTCCTCTTATTTAGTGGAAAAAAACAATTGTATTTTCAGAAGAACATATTGATATTTGTCTATCTAGCCCTACTTTTCCTCATCTTGAACTATTTCCTGATTACTTTCTAGGTTTAATAAAACATCTTTTCTCCTTTCTTCTATTTGTACTGAAATAATACTTTTCAAATGCATTGTCCAAAAGTTATTTATCACTGTCTAGTGCTTTCAGGACATTATTCATAACCTAGTACTTTTTTTTTACTCTCCGTATTCTAGCATAAAAATATTCTTTATAAAATAATAGGCTTCCTAAAACACATTTCTATATGCTAGTAGGCTCTCTGAATTTTGTTTGAGGATTGAGATAAGATTATAGTTTAATTTCCTGTCATCCAAAGAAACTTCAGATCTGCGTTAGTGCTTTTATTAAGTTAATAAAGAGTGACACTTGGTCCAAGATAACTACTGTACACAGCATTTTATATTCCTAATATGTTCTTAGAGAATTTGCTCAAATTCGACTTCACTAGATCAATTGGTGTCAAAATAACTATTTTAAACTTTTTATTGTACTAAAACAATTACCCTCTTCATTATTCTGAATTTTTGACATTCTATCATTAGATATTCACAAGGGGTAAACATTTTCTTTATATCTGAATAATGAGGCATTTTGTACACATAAAATACTCCAGTGTCTCAAATGAGACTGCTTTTATCATGAATTGATCAGAATTTGCATTGTTTTTACTTCTCACACACAAATCTTTCTTGGCTCATGAGAAAATAGTTAAATTTCTAAAAGGAAGAATTGTAAGTGAAAAAAACCTCCATACGTAAATTGTTATTTGTGTATTTGTGTGTAATTATATATAGGTTATATATAGTGTATGTGAATGAATATGAAACCATGCATAAATATTATGCATTCTAATAATGTTCTAACCAATGTGTACAACTAACTGCATATTTGAGTAAAACATATCCAGCTACCAATTTATTCTTCAAAACACGGTAGCAAGTGAAGACAAAATAGTTAATGGCAGTCAAATTTATTATTGTCAAGTCTTGTTTTTTTCTTTTTTATTTGAAAACTCCAAAGTAAATTATTTTCTCCTCTCTGTCTAAATATTTGAGAAAATTGAACATGATTTTATCATTAAAAAAATTAAAAAGTCATCAAATTTACACAGTTAGCCAACTCATCTTTTGAAATCATTTCATCTTGTTTTCAATTACCTTTCCAAATGCTATTAGTGTCTCTCTATAGTTCAAATACGGTTACCCCCACTCGGCTCAAGCACTCAGAAGTTAATTCTTTTAACCACACAACTAGACTCATTAGAATTAAAGAATAAAATTTCTAATAGAGAAGACTGAATTGTTTCCATTTGAATTAGTGTCAAATCAGTAGGTTCAAGCTAACAGGCCCCTGGAGGGTAGGGAAGGGAAGAAAAGAAAGAGAAAAAAATAAATACTTTAGCTCATTCAGTTTATTGACAGGGACAGTTCATACATATGATACTGTGTGTATTGGACTGGGTAAACATTCTGAAAAATAAACTAATAATCATCTGTTTATTCAAATAAGTTCTCCTTTTTACTATATCTAATGAAAGAAACCAGTTTATTAGGTTCAATATTTATTTTTATTTTAAGTTAATTATTCATATATTTTGCTTTTTCCTTCTTGTTCCCTCAAAGAAGACATTATTTCCACTATCACTTAATCTAGTTATTTAAAAAAATAATTCATCTGTCAATTTCACCAATTTATCCAGTAGGCTAATACTCATAGACACACATAAACCTTAAACACATCTATATTTATTGTTTAATCCAAATCATCTTTGATTTTCAGGTATTTTTGGCTGAATACACAGGACCTCTGCTAATATATCTCCTCTTTTATTTGAGAATCCCATGTATATACGATGGAAAAGAGAGCGCTAGAAGACTACGCCACCCAGTGGTACAGTAAGTGATGTGTGTGTGTGTGTGTGTGTGTGTGTGTGTGTGTGTGTGAAATACATGTGAATATATAAGTGATATATATGTGTGTATATACATGTGTGTGTATATACATATATAAATACACATATATATATATAAAATATACACATTAAAGAGGAGATGAATTAGTAAGGAGACAAAATATTAATAAAAGTTTTTGGTAAACTCAATTAAACTGGATATAATTTTATGGAATATATTTTAGATAACCTCAAATAGTGTATATACATCAACTTCCAAATTTGTAAACTAAGGACTATTAGGTATACCTTAAAATAGAGGTAATTTGGTGTCACATGATGGCTCATGTCTGTAATCCCAGCACTTTGGGAAGTCAGGGCGGGAAGATCATGAGGTCAAGAGATCAAGACCATCCTGGCCAACATGGTGAAATCCCGTCTCTACTAAAAATACAAAAATTTAGCTGGGCATGTTGGCTGTGCCTGTAATCCCAGCTACTCAGGAGGCTGAGGCAGGAGAATTGCTTGAACCCCAGAGGCGGAGGTTGCGGTGAGCCGAGATCACGCCATTGCACCCCAGCCTGGGTAACAAGAGTGAAACTCCGTCTCAAAAAAAAAAAAAAAAAAAAAAAATAAGTGAGGCATGGTGACGCTCACCTGTAGTTCCACTTATTTGGGAGGCTGAGGCAGGAGAATCTCTTGAACCCGGGAGGTGGAGGTTGTGGTGAGCCCAAGGTTGTACCACTGCACTCCAGTTTGGATGGCAGAGCAAGATTCTGTCTAAAAAAAAAAAAAAAAAAAGTAATTTGTGTTAATAATGATCACAGCTGTCAACAGAAACTGGGAAATTCAGAAATATCATTAAAAGAAGCTTGCAATTATAAAATTGAGAGACCATGTATAGGACATAAAATATAAGTACTCACTAAAAGTTTATTTATTATTATCTATTATTAAATCCCTATTTATTTGACAATTTTCATAGGAAAGAAATAATGACCAAACTAATAAACAGGAAGAAAAGAGTTTACAAGTTACTTTTTATAAGTCATAATTGAAAATTAAGCACCACTTTGAAGTATGACAAATAAAAGAGTAAGGGAATAAATAAAGCATTCTATATAACTGTGGTTATTAGCATATTGTGAAAATAATCTCTCTCTCTCTCTGCAAGAATGATTCACCAAATGAAATAGAAAGAAAATATTTATTCAAGATGCTTATTGGGCTCTGGAGAGAGAAATTTGTTAGAAAAAAAGACCTGAAAATTTTTTTTCATTAAATAAACTCCAAGTGAATTAAGAAGAAAATGTTAAATGTTTAGGTCATATGAATCCTAAAAGATTGAGAACTTTTATCCTAACTTTCTTACCTTTAATCAAGTTTTGGTTAACTTTAATTACTGTACTCCAGCCACACTTATCTCCTTTCATGTCCTGATTTTCTACTGTATTAGTTCGTTTTCTTGTTGCTGTGAAGAAATATCCAAGACTGAGTAATTTATTTTAAAAATATATGTTTAATTGACTCTCAGTTCTGCAAAGCTTGGGCGGCCTTAAGAAATGTACAATTATTGCAGAAAGTACTTCTTCACATTTTCATGAGGGAAAGGAATGCTCAATTATTTTAAAAAGAGGCTGGGATAAAGAGTTTGGTGGAGAATCTAAAAGTATTCATTTTTTAGGCCAAATATGGGACATATACCAAATGTGTAGCAGAGCATGAAGAAACAAGTTTTTTTTTTTTTTTTTTTTTGAGACGGAGTTTCTCTCTTGTTACCCAGGCTGGAGTGCAATGGCGCGATCTCGGCTCACCGCAACCTCCGCCTCCTGGGTTCAGGCAGTTCTCCTGCCTCAGCTTTTGTATTTTTAGTAGAGACGGGGTTTCACCATGATGACCAGGATGGTCTCCATCTCTCGACCTCGTGATCCACCCGCCTCGGCCTCCCAAAGTGCTGGGATTACAGGCTTGAGCCACCGCGCCCGGCCCGAAGAAACAAGTTTTCTTCAGTGTCATTCTAACTGACTCATATTTTTCCTTTTTTTTTTTTTTAATTTTATTTTGTTTTGTTTTTGAGACAGGGTCTTGCTCTGTAGCCCAGGCTAGAATGCAGTGGTTCAATTATGTTTCACTGCATCCTCACTCTTCAGGGCTCAAGCCATTTTCTCGCCTCAGCACCCTAGGTAGCTGAGACTATTGGTGTATACCATCATATCCAGCTAATTTAAAAAACATATATATATTTTAGAGATTAAGTCTCATCATGTTGCCCAGACTGTTCTTGAACTCCTGGGCTCAGGAGAATCTCCTGTCTCAGTCTCCCAAAGTGCTGGGATTATAGGCATGCGTCACTGCACCAGCCTTACTATTCTTAAACACAAATATAGCATGTTTGGTAGTATCTCAGTGGTGAATGTATTTGTGCCACATTGTTCCCAACTAACAAATACATTAAGTTTGTATAAGTAACTCCACAGCAGATAGATAAACTGCTTTTGAAATTTAGGTGTCTAGCAGGGCTTTAGAGAATAATCACAAAGCTGTGTCACCTAATTTTTGAGATGATGTTTTAAGATGAATTCTTTTTTTTTATTATTGCATTTTAGGTTTTGGGGTACATGTGAAGAACAGGCAAGATTGTTGCATAGGTACACACATGGCAGTGTGGTTTGCTGCCTTCCTTCCCCTCACCTGTATCTGTCAAGATGAATTCTTAAATGTTGCATCCAATTGCCACAGACTAAAATGTTGTCTCCAAAATTGGTTTGAATTAATGTTACAATGTCAAAAGAATTTTCTGCTAAGTTCATATAGAAGGAGATTTCTATATGTGACTCAACCACCACAAAGTAATTCAGATCTCTTAGAATCCTCCACACACTGAAACTAAAGGGATATCTCCTGTAGGAACTGTAACCACATCAAGTATCTTATGAATCTATTGCCTGAATATTTCCTTTTCTTCAACAGAAACCAGAAACCTGGTGCAATGCCTCCCTTGCTGTTTCCAAAGCTGAAGATGTGCTTTTCTATGCTGTGCCCTCATATCCTGAACCTTACTTGATTTAAAATAAATAAGATTTTATCAGTACTTTCTTTGGGAAAAATAATTGGATTCATGCCTATTTATGGTTTACAGTTAGTTTAGAAATTAACAGAAAATAATCAGTGTTTGACTAGAAGTTAAACATAATTGTATAAAATAATAATGCTTTGAAATAAAATCAAACTTGGTGAGTTAGCAATGATGTACAATGTGGCATATATATAAACAGTATGGTTCTACTTGTATATTCTGTGGTGGTTCCTACACTCTCATGGTATAGTGTAAAAGAAGTGAATGAACTAATGTAGAAGAATCACAGATTGAACCAAAATTTCTCACTTATGGCTCTGCTACATTGCTGCTTTCTTATAAAACAAAAAACAAGTATATTACCCAAGGGTTTTTGTAACTACTTCTACAAAAGAACAATAAAATGAGGAGAGATACCAATTTCCTTGTCTACCTTTTGAAGTCGTAAGGCAGCTTCTTATATCATGACTTTTACTTCTGTTTGTCTGACTTTCGAGAAAGCTCTTCCCCCAGATATCCATGTTGTTTGCTCTCTTACCTATTTTTCAGAATTTATCTATTATTATACTTATAGGTATATGCATCACATAAAACATTTATGTTACATAATAGGTGCACAATTTGTTTTTCCTGAATTAACGAATAATGATAAATTTGCTGCTGACCTAACCAGGATAGTGTTAGTTTAATTATTTGTTTTCTCTAAAGTCACCCTACTCATACCAAAAATCATTTCCATAGAAATAAACTCCCAGACTTATAAATAAACTCAATGTCTGATTTTATTATTATATAGAGCACCTTTACTAGTTAAAGTATGTCATCAGTTGAGTGTGGTGTCTTATGCCTCTAATCCCAGCACTTTGGGAGCCCCAGACAAGTTGATCACTTGAGCCCAGGAGTTTGAGACTAGCCTGGGCAACAAAGTGAAACCCATTTCTACAAAAAATACAAAAATTTGTCCAGGCATGGTGGCATGGGGCTGTAGTTTAGCTATTCAGGAGGCTGAAGTGGAAGGATTAGTGGAGCCTGACATATTGAGCCATGATTGTGCCACTGCACTGGAGCCTGGATGACAGAGCAAGACTCCAACTCTAAAAACAAAAATAAACAATACACAAAAGGCATGTCATCTTTGATCCCTATTTATTTCTCTAATAGCAAACAAAGTTTTTGAGATTTTACATTTTTATATATAGCAAAATAGGTACAGATCTTAATGAAAACTATATGCTTTTTAGTATATCCAGAAAAATGTACCTCTGTAAATCATATTTTACATTTACTTTTAAGATAGTAATTATATGAAAATGATAAGAGGTAGTAACTTAGAATACAGCAGTAAAAACAAGGACACAGAGAGACAGAATATTACAATATTCAGTAGAAAATTTAAAAAATACAAAACAAAACATAAAGCTACATTATTACTGCACTGAAATGCAATTTAAGCTTTCTCCATCTTAGTATTTGCTAAAGGACAAACAGACAATTAAAAAGTTATTCTGAATATTATAAAATGTCAAATGCATTCCAAGTAGGCTTTGGAAATTTTTAAAACTTGTAGATTGTCAGTTTCAGTCAAGACATTTTGTTATGAACACATTTGCAATTATTATGTTTATACCTACTCCTGGGACAGGTGTGAGCATAACAGTTTATGACTGGTATTATAAAATATTTTAGTGTCATCAGAAGTAAATTTACAGAGACTCTTATAAAACAGCTGCTTTTATTGCTAAATTTTGAAAATTAAATATTAAAGCAAGTATTTGGGTTTTAGTTACCAGAAACAATATTTCCTAATAGCTAGAATATTACAGCAAACTAAAAATTTTAAATGTATCATGCATAAGGCAAGCCAGAATTTCAAAGGGATTTATTTTAATGTTTACTTTTTTTTTTTTTCAGCTTGGCTTGCTTCTGTCATTGTATACACTACATCCGATACCTTTTGGAAACCTTATTTGTTCACAAGGTTTCTGCAGGACAAACAACTTTGAAAAATTTGATAATGGTGAGGATGCTTTGTATTTTTTTTTTATTGAGACATTTTATATGTTGGATTGTTTGCAAAATATTTAATCACTGTTTTCTTCTGAAACTTAGATTTTCATGTTTAATTGTATAAGCATATCTTAAACATTCTTTTCCTCAAATGCCATTTTTTGAGTAATATATTTAATTTGAGCTTAATCCTATAGAAAAATTTGTCAGCTGGGCGCAGCGGCTCAAGCCTGTAATCCCAGCACTCTGGGAGGCCGAGGTGGGTGGATCACGAGGTCAAGAGATTGAAACCATCTTGGTCAACATGGTGAAACCCCGTCTCTACTAAAAATACAAAAAGTTAGCTGGGCATGGTGGTGCGTGCCTGTAATTCCAGCTACTCAGGAGGCTGAGGCAGGAGAATTGCCTGAACCCAGGAGGTGGAGGTTGCAGTGAGCTGAGATCGTGCCATTGCACTCCAGCCTGGGTAACAAGAGTGAAACTCTGTCTCAAAAAAAAAAAAAAAAAAGAAAGAAAGAAAGAAAAAAAGAAAAAAAAGAAAAATTTGTCATTACCTCATATTACAAGACAAGCTAGATAATCCTAGATATCTTTTAATTTTGGTAACATTAAGCATTGATTTCAGATTTCTTGAGTGCCACTCAAAGAGAAGAATATCAGATAAGAACATTCCTAAAAACATATATCTGTGTGGGATTAAAATGATGCTACTATATTCCTTTATAATGGCAGTTGTCAATATGATGCTAGTGTCTTTGCTCTTTCTAGAAACTGTGAATGCAACAGTTATCAACTATCAAATAAGTACTAAAAAATGAAAAAAAAGTATGTAAAATGTTGACATAGAAAAGTACATTAGACAACATGTTGAGATTCAATTTTCAATTTAAGTTAAATTTTATTTTTTTTTCAATTTAAAATATATTTTCAAAAAAGGTTTGCCTGTACAAAAAAGTCCTAGTTTTTGTCAAATATATGCTTTGCAATATTGCTAGAACATTATAGTACACTAAACAGCTATTTTATTGTTGTCATTGCAATGAAACAGTAATCTCTGAAATTCTTATGCCTCAGAAGTCATTTAGACCTGCTTATTATTGATAGAATAACTAATCAAATCAATTCAAGATCACCATTATTGACTATAAGTCTTAAATACAAGCCATTTCCATTCCAGTCAATCAACATGTTTTACTAATTATTAAATAATTTATTTTTTACATTTCCTAATTGTTGAAAAAACATAAGCATATCTTAATAGTAACTGATGTTTTATTTTTAGCAATTTGTTTACTACTTGCTAGACAAAAATAATTCTTACCACTTTTCTAAAATATTTTGTTAACTTGACATATATCACAAATATTCATTAATATTAATATAAGTGGAGCAAAAAAATCCATCTTCTTAGTGATATGAAAATAGTATTCTTAAAATGCTACTGTTATGATCTCCTTATGCCTTAGTTTAGTGAGGTCCAAGTTTTTGTCCCCCAACTAAGAAGAATAAGACACATGCATACCGGTGAGTAGGGCAGATTTATTAAGCAACAGAAAACCTCTCAGCAGCTAAAGGGTACCTGAAGAGCGTTGCCAGAAATGGGGCTGAATTCTGTGTCTTTTATGTGGCAAGGACAAGGAAGTCTTCTGTGGGTTACACCCTAAGGGGAGGGGGTAAAATTCCTGCTGAGGGTGATGCATCTGCACAAGCCTGGGGTTGGCCATAGCTACTCCATCTTGGCACAATACATATATATTATAGGTGTGTCACATATATGTATGTTACAGTTTTTTTTTCTAATTTTTATTTTGTTTTGTTTTATTTACAGATTTGTGCCTTTTACTGGGGATTTACTTCTTGGATTGCCTATTACATTAATCATCCACTATATACACCACCATGTATGTAGGGTTCTTCTTAATTAACCCCATACTAAATGGCCAACCTAAAAACTTTGTTCTAAATGGTATACATGTTATGCACAGCACAGAATTAAGGGATAAGTAAAAAAATTAAACAATTCCATTTTAAATTGCTTTCATATGTATTTAAATGCTTACATAAGCCTAAAAGACCAATTTGACTTATTTCAATTTATTTTCTTTCTACATGAATCAACAAAAATATTAGTAGATTGTAAACCTCCAAAAAACAGATAATAAAATGAAAAAGCAAAAATTAAAGAGAAAATTATTATATAACTATACAATCATATACCAGCTATCAGATATTCTAAAATTAAATAATAAACATTTAATTATTCTATTAAATATAATTCAACAAAAATAGAGGCAACTTTTTGTATGACAAATTAGTTCTTATTTATGATTTAATTTACTAAAATACCTTGACTTAGATGAACAATTTGGTTGAATGTACACTGTTAGAAATCTAATTTCTTGGTTTTAATCTTTAAAAAATAAGGTCCTCTGATCAAGGAATTTCATTTCTTTCTTCAATTTGGATTTATCTCTCTTCAACTTTTACTGTAGCACATAAGACACATGAGGTAAAGCTCAAAAATTAAATGGTTTCTCAATTAATTGACAATTATTTTTGTGGTCTATTTCTGATGTTTGCAAAGTTAAAAATAAATTGAAATAAATATATATTCAATCTTTATTTAAAATTTTAAAAAATAGCTTAAACTTGCTTAATTTCTTAGCCGAAGTGTTAATACAGAGAATTACAATGTTCAGTGTCTTTGCTAAAATCAACATATCTAGTTCATTCTGGGAAGTGAAGAGGCATTGATTTTAATGATTAAAAATTCAGCTGGTCTTAATACTAACAATTAACTATGAATATTGAAAATGAAAATTTTCTGCATTTACTGATTTTTCAAATATTTTATAAGACATACTTATTATCTTTACAACTTTAACACATGGGTGTATTGCTCCAGACTATGTTAAGAAGAAATGCCTCTAAAAAATGATTCATTTCCATATTGGGTACAAAATAATAATAGTGGTTAATTTTGTTAGTGTACACAAATTATGTATTAAAAACTGAATATTTGTTAATAACTGTAAATATTCTATTTATTTTCAATTAAAAACATTATTTTGTGGCTGTTAATATTTCCTATTAAAGGCTAGAAAAATAATGCCCTGAAAATATAATTTCACTATGCTCAAGATCTTAAAATGCATAAGATAAAAGAAGGATTCAAATGCTGTGAAAACATGTGATAGCATTTTAATACTGATTACAAGTGGAAAATGAATGCCTAGGAAGTCCACACTTAACATGGTTGTAATATACATGAGCTAAAGCTCTTATGCTTTAGTTAAATGATACTAAATAATAATGGGACTGCTAAAACAGTATATGATAGAATATGTTGCTCTTTTATAGAGAAAGTATAAATTAACTTTTATTAAGGCTTCCTATGTTTTACATACTATGCAAACTATTGCCACATTTTGTCTCATTGAATCCTTATGAAAATTCAACTATTTATATTTCCATTTTACAAATGAACAGCTAAACTTAAAAAAATTTAGGAAGATTTTCCAAATTTACTCAGCGAATAACTGGAAAAGAATCTATAGCTTAGATACAGATAACAGTAGACTGTGCAAGAGATTAGCCAATCCACAGCCAGACAGACATGTAAATTCTATATAGACATTATCATGAAGACCCCCTTACCAAATGAGAATGTCATCTTTACCTTAGTTGTGATCTGGGTAGCAGAGGCTCTCATTTCTTAAACTGTTTGTTATATGGGCTTAGGATGCATAACACACATTGTTAAGAAATAACAGGACCCAGTAGCTTTCTCAAATTTGTTCCATGCTTAAGTCACTTATTGTTTTATTTTTTCTGTAAAATTTCATTCTTTTTTATATTTATGCTGCAAAAAAAAAAACCTTCCCTTTCATTTCTTGTCACTTTCTAAGACTTTAATAGAATATTTTCCCTTTTGAACATTTTGATTAAAATAAAACAATATTTTAATTTTAAAAATGGATTATTACATCATAAAAATTAAATTTTGTACTCACAAAGCAGAAATAGTACAAACTACATTATCTTTAGGTGAGACAAAATAGAACTTAATATTACAATATAAGCACACAAAAGTGTTTATAAACCAAATATTTGAGGGGATATTTTAAAACACATTCCGAAATTATTTTAACAGTAAGAGATATAACAATAATTACAGAACAACTATGACAAGGTAACAGAAAAAGAAAATAGTACTTGTTAAAGTTGTTTTCAGCAGAGCCGGTATAATCTTAATAAATAATAAAGTTTAAGGAAGATGAAATGAAACCCTTTAATTAAACAAATCAGTAATTCCTTCAGTTTTTGTTTTAATATATTTTACTTCGCTGCATTAAATCCATCTGCTTAAGGTTGCAAAATAGACAATTTATCCAATTTTTATTTTGTTGTTCTTGAAATTTTTCATTAAATCATCCATGCTTACAACATAGTTTCCCTCTTTTTAACCTGGAAATAAGAAAAAAAAGTGATTAGACTTTTGGACTTTATCTGTTTAATCTTTGATCACATTTTCTGTACTTTCACTTTATATGTGATATGTTCCTTCAATAAACATAATTAAGTCTTAATTCAGTATAATTTTTTATTACATTATGGCCATGATTATTATTATTTTTTTTTTGGTTTTTGGTGTTATTATTGTTGTGTTTTTGTTGTGATAGCTGACACTGCTGTTCTTTGCTCTCTATACCAACTGGAATTTTTTTCCACTTCCTTCTGTATTCTCTGTGCTAACAGTGTTTGACTTTTATTACAATTCTTGCTGCAGTCTATTCTCATCAAATTTGGCTGCAAAAAGTTAAAAGCATCTGTATATTAATACACAAAAGCTAATAGTTGAAAATCAACATGTTGTACACATATTTCCAACACCTATTGTACTAGAGAGTTCATTTTCTGTTTTTCTGTAATTCTTTTTTTTTTTTTTTTTTTTTTTTTTTTTGAGATGGAGTTTCGCTCTTGTTACCCAGGCTGGAGTGCAATGGCGCGATCTCGGCTCACCGCAACCTCCGCTTCCTGGGTTCAGGCAATTCTCCTGCCTCAGCCTCCTGAGTAGCTGGGATTACAGGAACGTGCCACCATGCCCAGCTAACTTTTTGTATTTTTAGTAGAGACGGGGTTTCACCATGTTGACCAGGATGGTCTCGATCTGTCGACTTCGTGATCCACCCGCCTCGGCCTCCCAAAGTGCTGGGATTACAGGCGTGAGCCACCGCGCCCGGCCCATTTTCTGTAATTCTTGAATAATATTTAAATACAACCAAATGAAATATGTTATCAGAACTGTAAATTGCCAAATGGCAGGAACATTTTAATAACCCCAAATTAGAATGTGTATGTTCAAATATCTTAATATATAAATGTTTACTATCAACATAATCAAGGAATAATGTCCTATTAGGTTACTTTTACCTATCTAAATGTGAAACATTACACAAATTATGAAATATTATTAAACGTTTTAAAAGCTTATAATGACTAAAACCTCTCTAGAAAGTTTATTTCTCTTTACACTACCTATGACTTTGTTTTTTTTGGAGATAAATATGGCAAATGACTCTTCACTCGATACTTGTGTTTATCATATTGTTATTCATTTTCATTTAAAAATAAGAATAAGACATATGTTTACTGCCGTCTGCCTAATGTACTCTGAAACCTCTTTTCTCTATATCAATGCCTATTCATTTTAATAAATCAAAGCTTAAATTTGTACTCCAAAGAATCCTCCCTGATCTCCCAGATTAAAAAAAAAAAAAAAAAAAAACCTTTTTAGTTATTCTATTAAATACTATATAGATATTTTTAGTAGCACTAATCAATTTTGCAAACTTTTATTTGTTAACATTGATTCCTAGTTTTCTGGGCAAGAATGTAAGTTCAATTAAGATTGCCTTTGGCTTTGTCTGTACTTTATCACAAGCACACAGTTCAGTGCCTCTCACATGAACTCTTGGTAACTAGTTGAATGAATAAAGTTACATTGAATAATAGGTATAAATCAAAAAATTATAGCTGAAACACATGTGTATCAACCAATTGTGATTTGGCAAGAGCAGAATGTTTAATTATGTGACAAAATATGTTTAACATTATGTTAAGAGAAAAACAGGTTATAAAATTTTTGTATCGAATATTGTGAAAATGTACAACATTTATGAATATGTCAAAGGGAAAAATCATAATACTCATTGGTTTTTTTATGGTTCATGAGATTTTAACGCATTTTCCTTTCCCTTACCACTTTTTACTATTTCCCAAGTATTCTCCATTAATACGTTTTATTTTACTATTAGATATATAAACTGTATGAAAACAAAACTTCCAATTTTTGTTTTCATACAGTTTATATATCTAATAGTAAAATATGTATATGTATTCTATGAAAATATGTCTATGCAAAATACCTATATGCCTTTAACTATACTTTTAAATTTCTAGCTTAAAAAAATAGAATTTAGTAAAATATTTACTAAACATTTTTATACAAAAAGATGTTCAAAACAGTATTATCTATCAATCACACGTAAAATTTAAATAAACTTTGCAGCAATTCTATAGCCACATCACGCATTATTTAAGATTCAATTACAGTTACGACAATAAGTGTTTAATAATATTGGAAAATCTTTAAATATATTGTTAGGTGATAAATGATAGTGTTAAAATGAGGGATAATATTTTCATGTGTCTATGTAAATGTGTTTATATAAATACATGTTCTCATACATATAGCAAAAAGAAAGAAATGCAACTATTAATAAGCATGATGAGTTTGTCAAATAATTCTATCATTCTTGTTGAATATTCCAACTTTCCCACTATGAGCAACCCTTCCTGTAGAACATTGATTTAAATGCTGCTTTGTACATTACTCTTTCTCTACTCTCTATAACTTGACCTATATTTTTCTTTAAGGTAAGAAAATTAATACATCATATATTTGTTATAATAAAAAATATACTTATAATTCCACTTATTACAAAACATCAAGGCAGAAAAATAACTGTAATGAGTAATTTTCCTTTTATTGTTAAACGTTAAAAAACGGGAGTTGGCCGGGCGCTGTGGCTCAAGCCTGTAATCCCAGCACTTTGGGAGGCCGAGGTGGGTGGATCACGAGGTCGAGAGATCGAGACCATCCTGGTCAACATGGTGAAACCCTGTCTCTACTAAAAATACAAAAAAATTAGCTGGGTATGGTGGCACGCGCCTGTAATCCCAGCTACTCGGGATGCTGAGGCAGGAGAATTGCTTGAACCCAGGAGGCGGAGGTTGCAGTGAGCCGAGATCGTGCCATTGCACTCCAGCCTGGGTCAAAAAAAAAAAAAAAAAAAAAAAAAAAAAAAAAAAAAAAACGAGAGTTATTTTGTTGTGTCATTATATACTTGACCATACTTAAATGTGCTTGTAAATTGGGACAAAGACTAAATCTGCCTTCAAAGAGTTTAATAATAAAAATTAATAATATATTTCATCTGTAATTTAAATAACATATTACTAAAGTGTACAAGTGGAAAAAAATTAACATTTTAGATTGCAAAAGTATCATCCAAAAAGTTGAATTATATACTAGACAGTTCTGTTGATTGTAGAAAAGTTATGTCCAGTAATTGCTGCCTGAGTTATGTCTATATATCTGACAACCCAAACTATGAGTATCTGCATGACATATTGTTTTCCTTCTCTCTAGCATTTGGAAACAGGCAAATCACAATATCTGCTATCAATTTTCTGGTATGTATCATTTATGTTTTTGCTATTCATGCTATAATTTTGGTACTATGAAGAAGAAAAACAAACAGTATTGAGGATTTACCATGTAGAAAATATGATATATATTTCTATAATATATATAATGATATAAAATTAAGTAAATATAATGACTTACTATAATTGAGTCTTTAGCTCTCTAAATTTAGAATAATCAAAATGTTGTAGTCATCTCTAAACATTGATTGGAATTATTTGAAATACAATAGATATTTGAAAAACATATACTCAGTGATTCTTCACACTGTATGCACATTTACCAACGTATAAACTTCCAAGAGCAAAAATTTTTTTGCAAATTTTACAGATGAACACCCCAAAAACACTTTGGCATAATTGTTAATTTAATTCAAGATGAACACAGACTTTGTTTTTTTTTTTTTTTTTTTTTTAATAGAACCTGGCTCTTTCTATACTGTACTGATTTCAATTTCTTTAGATTGTTCTATGTAAATAGATATTTACATAGATTGAATTGTATGAAAATCAATCTGGATACACAAGAGTCTTGATTATTTCTAAAATGTATTAATTATTTCATTTGACACTTTTTTTTTAGCTTTTCTAAGCTCTATAATGCCTTTCTTTCATTCTGTATTTATGTTTCTTTCATCCCTGTCCTTGATAATTTAGTTAACCCCCAAGATTCATGTACAAGTTCACATTTCTTGCACAGGTTGTATTCAACAGCTTACTTCCAACTATTTTATTCAGGTCATAAATCACCCACCACGCTTTGTAAGGAGCTCTCACAGGACACTCTCTTGCTCTCTCACTCTCTACATATTTTTAGTTAACAGTTTAGGTAAAAATGTCCTCCACTGCATTTGCTCTGAAGAGAATAGATCTTGTTTTTCTCTTTTCAGCATATAGTTTGGCATAGCACAAACTCATTACATGTTCGAATAATGGCACAGATAATTTACGTATTTGGAATTTCTTCAGAAATGTATTGAAAATATATCACAGCCATGTAATTTTCCAATTGTGCACATTGCTAAAGGAGAGTAATTCTATGGTTCATGTGTTGTAACAGCATTAGTGTTAACCCCTGTTGTATTAAGTCTAATGTTCTCATATTAACTACTTAGTAAATCTGAGTGAAGAGAAGAATGAATTCATAGATAAAATAATAACCACCTATTTGGTAGTAATTTCAGTATGTTTTAGATTAATATCAGATAATTTTTCTGATTTTTATTCTCCTTATGATGTCCACTTTTTCAAAAAAATTGACAATTATAATTTTTTCTGTGTAATTAAGACAATTCCTTTTTTATATAATATTTTTTATTTCTTCCATTTTCTCCAATATAGTATGGCTATGTATGTATTTATTCTCTCTTCTCAAACATGTATGATACTACTACAAAAGCAAACTTTTAATAAAAGTCCTTTATTAAAAAGTTATATTATTATAAACATGTTGTAGTATTTTTCTTATGAAGTTAAAAGGCGTAATTAGACATAAGCAAAATTCGAAGAGCTTGCAATTATTGTTTTTATTCCCCAGAGACACAAAAATTCTGCCTTCTTATTAAGCTACTGATTTTTCCTGTCCATATATCACTTTATTAATCAAGTGTATTTCATACAGTGCCCATGCAAAAATTAATAAAGTCCAGGTGACTAAATTAAACAAATACTGATAGATGATAGAATAGACTATGTCTATTACCTAAAGTAGGTAAGTATGATAACTTTAATTCCACATTTTAGCACGTAACAAGCATTTTTTATTTCAGTTATAGATTTAACAATTTGATAAATTTTATATTTCTATAATCTATAGATTTAAATGGTTTTAAAAATTAAAAGTAATATAATTAAAACCTGTGCCTTTAGTTATAGATAGTATAATAGTATCTGTGAAAACCTTATTTAAAATAAAAATATTTAATGTAGTTATATTCCATAGGAATGCAAAGCTTAGAAATAAGATATAAGGGCCACTGTCACTCTCTTACACATGTAAATTGTCATGAGAAATCGAGAAAGCCTGTTAGTACTGAAATTTTTTAGTCATGTTTATTGTTAAAACATATTTAACTTTCAAAAATAATATGTGATATTAAGATATTAGTGTTAGAAAGCTGAATCTATTATAAGACATAGTAATAACAACAAAGTAGTTGATTGAGCTTGCATTTAAACATAGAGAGGCCTGCTATTCATTGTAAGCAAGTTAAAGTCTATTATTCAACATATAATAACAGAATATATGTGCATGTGCGTTTGAAAATTATTACAAGTACTATATATACACAAATGATTTGAAAAAATAATCAACATATGTCAAGTCTAATGTATTGTAAATTATATTCTACTACATACTGTTCATTGTAATATAAATTAACAGTAGATAGTACAATCCATATTTTACAGAATAAACAAAGGAAAAATTTATGGATCAATCTTATATAATATGCAATTCAACCAGAAAATACCTATTTTAATTGCAAGTGCTTTTTTTTTTTTTTTTGCTGATAAAATGTTATGTTAACAAAACTTCTTATTTTTGAACTGTGTGCTGTTTTAATACAAGAAGAAAGAGGCATTATTCATTTAAAATTGATTTTGCCCCTGTTGTTATGTAGAACCAGATTATCACCTAGTTAGAAAATAATAGAACAACATTGAATAGAGTTATGGTTAATTCTCAGGTATTCATGTCAGATTCACCTATTTTTTGTAAACTATTAATGGTCATAAATTTACTTTCATCTCCCTCTGCTTTTTCTACTGCTATTCTGAGTTTTCTAACATATTAAGCAAAATATATTGTAAGAAAAACAAAATAGTTTACAATGTGTACATAGTATTGTAAAATCAGGTTCTTATTTTGTGGAAAATTCTTTGATTTTGGTGAGGATTTTCTTTTTTTTTTTTTTTTTTTCTGTCTCTATTATATTCAAAGGAGTAGTCTCTCACCTCTTTCTTGGTTGAAATTCCTTCTAATTTTCAGCACAAGTTTGAGCCTTCAAATAGGTTCAGATATCACAAATCTACAGCAAGAATTAAGGAGAATCAAATACAGGCAAATTTATAAAGACATCAGTATAACTTTCCACGCAAATTTTAGGTGTAATCTTGGTTGTCTCATGTAAATAGTGTGAACACATATTGTAATTTTAGTATACAGGTGTATTTTTTTCTAGGGGCAGGTTCATCTAATGATAAATTTGTGATTATTATAAACCTATCCAGTGTCTAAAACCTACATGCTGTTTTCTTCATGACTCATTATTTGGTCAAACAATTGATGTTCCAATACTTAGTTTTGTTGTAATAAATAAGCAGGAAGAAGAAAGTATTTTGATGGTTGAATAAGCATACAAATATTAATAACTTCAAAACAAATGTTTCATCAAAATACTTATAATTTCTAAACTATAATTTTTCACAAATTTTGGTAAGTTAATTTGATTTTTAATAAATATTTTATAATTTTTTTGTGCTTGGCACAGTAAGTGATAGAAAATAAATATGACAAGCTGTCTAAGTTGAAAGATGTACAAAAGATAGGGAAACCAAACGGAAATGTAACAAACCATTAGTTCAGTAATTATGAGTTTTGTAGTGCCGACAATTTGTGGAAATGAAGTCTAGAGAAGTGAGATTAATGTAGGATAATCTGGAGAAGTTTTTATTGATTAAATTGGTAACTAAAATTACCACAGTAATTTTATTGGGTAAACATGATGTGCAAGGTACTTGACTTCATTCAATCATTATAAAGTCTCTGGAGACAGAAATTAACATTTACATTTAGGTGAAGAGATGAAATTCCAAATGTGGAATTCACTTCATCTATCATACATAGTAAATGAAATATGTGGCATGTGAGCACAGGTTCATGCAACTGAAAGCCTGATACTTACCTGCATTCACATGTAAAACTTGCAAAAAAGTATTACCTGAAAATTTAAATTTCCACTTTGCCTCCTCAAAGATAACTTAAGAAACCAAATCCTTTTCTATAATTATTTTATGCATTTATGTTGGCATAAAATTTGTATTTGTATTGATTCCTGGATCTTTAAGTATTGATTTTATATTTGGTATATGTGGTTATATTATGTCCTAAGTGAATTAATTTATTGAAATTATTTTATTTATTTATTTCCTTTATTGTACTTTGGGCTCTGGGATACATGTGCACATCCTGCATGCTGTCTCCACTGCCCCCACCAAGTCCTGTTGCCTACATCAGATATTTCTCCTGGTGTTATCCTTTCCCATCCTCCCCACCCCTCTACTGTCTCTCCCCTCCCCTCCCCTCCACCCACCCCCACCTAGCCCAGTGAGTGTTGTTCTCTTCCCTGTGCCCAAGTGTTCTCATTGTTCATCACCCACCTATGAGTGAAGACGTGGTGTTTGGTTTTCCGTTTTTGTGTCAGTTCACTGAGAATGATGGTTTCTAGATTCATCTACGTCTCTGCAAAGGACATGAATTTGTTTTTTTTATGGCTGCATAGTATTCCATGGTATATATGTGCCACATTTTTATTTTAAGTAGCATTTTTACGTAACAGTCCTGGATGATGAAAATGGATTTAAAATTTATCTTTCAATATATTTTTGCACTAAAATTTAGAAAGCATTGAATTATATGACACTTAGTCTGTGAAACATCCAGAAATTAAAGTCCATAGAACTATTATTATATGTGAAAAAATGCATACAGAAATGGTTGAAAAGAACAAAATCAGCTATAATCTATGAGATTAATAACATTAAAGGTACTGAGTTTAATGGGCACTCAACTTTTGGGATATGGTAAAAGTTTAATGACTCTAAACAAGAAAGATTTTGAATAACATACTCAGATATCAGTGTCAGGGTATTTATATGTTGTTAAATAAGATAAGGTATATATGGCAGACAAAAGAAGGGTCTTACCCTCACAGGACACATGTTGCAAATTGAGAACATTATTATTCTCAGATGGTGGTGAGCCTTTGATCAGTTAAGGTATACATGGCAGACAAAGGAAGGGTCTTACCTTCCTTTGTGTTGTGTCTGCCATGTATACCTATCTGATTTAATACTTAGTGTTAAATCAGATAAGGTATATATGGCAGACAAAGGAAGGGTCTTACCCTCTCATGACACATGTTGCAAACTGAGAATATTATTAGTCTCAGGAGATGGTGGTAAGCCTTTGATCTTCGAGGGACATAGTGGCCTATTAACAGCGTCAACTAGTAGAGTGCATATAATCAAGAGGTCTTAATGACAGATAAGCAGCAGTTTTCTTTGTGGGTAGCACTGCTCACAATAGGTTTTCTAAACTGAGCTGATGCTAGCTGGAAATCAAACAATCACCATTCACTAGAAAGATTTTTGCTGTTAATGAACTAAGATTAACATAAACCTATGCCAAATTTGTTTTCAGCAAGAGTTGTCTCTTTATAGACTGAAAATCTCCCCATAGTAACAAGCACAAAACTGATTAACAGGACAGTTTAGACCTAATTATTGAGCAGTGTGAAAAATATCTTCAGAATTTCTAACTTGTTGTGAGTAATTATTTTTATTCAATATATGCCAGCAACAGCTTTTATCATTGTTATAATAGTAAAAAAAATTACCTTTATATTTAGAATAAAATATATGTCTTTTGAATCTTTGGGATTAATGTTTTACATAGATTTTGTATATCTGTAGGATACATTTTATTTTTTAAATAGGCAGAGAGGTGTATCACACTGAAAATGTTTAAAATGTTTTGCAGATGTGTGAAGCTGGAAATCATTTCATCAATGTAATGCTGTCTCATCCCAATCACATAGGTTAGTACTTTTTTCTTTTCTTTTCTTTAGAGTGACCTACGTTAATAATTATTTTTATAACCTTCAAAAATCTTTAAAAATAAAAATTTTAATAGTTGGAAATATCTATGTCACATTTTCCCTTTTATGTCTAACTTTGCCAAATATTTGAGCCAAATCATATTCTCTAATAATGATTTATCTAAAATAAAGTGTGCCTGCACGCAATCATCCTCCCCATATAGACTAAACAATAATTAACAATCTCACTTAAATATGTAAATAAATGAACTAATGGATAAAAACTAAACAGTATAAAATCACTTGGCAAATACCCAAATTACTAAACTTTCAATATTGATCTAGTTTGCACAATACTTGATACAGTCCCTCTGTTTCAAGTGATTTTATTTATTTTTTTTTTTTTGTAATGAGAATAATCTTTCATTGAAAAACAAAATGGCACAGAAGTATCAGTGCTTCGGAGAACATTTCAAAATTAGTAGTATATTAAAAGTATTTGTAGTTTTGCACCATGAACTTTAAATCATTGTAACTAATCTCATACGCATCTTTATTAATCAAAATAGGAACCATTATAATCAACATATTTTTGTCAATGAGAAATTTTTTTTTATTCCTGTAGCATAATAATCCATGCTTCAGGATTCAACAAACTCTTGGAAAGCATTTTCTGCATCCTGCTAATTGTGGAAGCAATTTCCCTGCAAAAAGTTGTCCAGATGCTTGAAGAAGGGGTAGTCAGTTTGAGAGGTCAGGTGAATATGGTGGATGAGACAAAATTTTGTGGTCCAATTCCTTAAAATTTTAAAGCATTGGTTGTTGATGTGTGAGCAGACATTGGCATGGAGAAGAACTGGGTCCTTTCTGTGGACCAATGCTGGCTGCAGACTTTGCAGTTTTCAGTGCATCTCATTGATTTGCTGAACACACTTTGCAGATGTAATGATTTTGTCAGGATTCAGAAAGCTGTGGTGGATCAGACCACTAAACAGTGACCACGGACTTTTTCTTTTTTTTTTTTTTTTGGTGCAAGTTTGGCTTTGAAAAGTGCTTTCTTTGGAGTTTCTTCTCAGTCCAACTACTGAGGTGATCATCACCAGTTATATAAAATCCACTTTTGTTGCACGTTACAATTGGATCAAGACATGATTCACTGTTCTTGAATTGAATAAGAAAAGACAACACTTCAAAATGATTTTTTTTTTAAATATATGCGATCAGCTTATGAGGACCTGACTCATTGAGATTGTTTCCACCTTTCCAATTTGCTTCAAATGCCAAAGGAATGCAGAATGGTCGGTGTCAAGTTCTTTAGCAACTTCTGTAATTGTAAGAGGATCATCTTTGATGATTCATTTCAATTGGTCATTGTCAACTTCTGATGGCCAGTCACTAGCTCCTCATCTTCAAGGCTTTCACAAAACTTCTTGAACCACCAGTGCACTGTGTGTTCCTTAGTAATTCTTGGGCCAAATGTGTTGTTTATGTTGTGTGTTGTCAGTTGTCTTCACTGCTTCCTGACCCATTTTGCATTATTATTATTATTATTATTATTATTGTTATTATTATTATTATTCAGATGGTGTTTCACTCTTGTAGCCCAGGCTGGTGTTCAATGGCAGGATCTTGGCTCACTGCACATACCACCCTGCTAACTTTGTATTTTTAGTAGAAATTGTGTTTCTCCATGTTGGCCATGCTTGTCACAAACTTCCAACCTCAGGTGATCCACCTGCCTTGGCTTCCAAAGTGCTGGGATTACAGGCATGAGCCACTGCACCCAGCTCATCATCCATTTTGAACTTGATTAAGAAAATCACTTGGATTTGCTTTTTGTCTGATATCATTTCCATATACAAAAAAATGAATATAAAATATCAGCAGGTAATAAGTCCTTAGCAAAAAAACAAAAGTAAGAAATGCCCATTAAAATGATGTATAACATAACCACGTTTATTTAAGAAGGTATTCCAATATCAAATGACAAATTCCAGCAAAGCAGTAATCTCTCTCTTTCACACTCAACTATATATTTGAAAAAGTTCACAGTGTCTCCATTACTTCAGGATATTTGTGGTAAATCAATCATCTCATTTAGGCTCATTTATATGTAGGGATTCCCAACTGCTCATCCTATATAATACATGATTTAATTATAATTCAAATAGAAAGGATAAACATTTGGTCTATTTGTTAACAATTCAAATGAAAATATAAAGGCATATTTGACTCTTCAATTATTTTTTAACAACAACCTGAATTTCTTAACATTTTCTTGCCTTCCACACTTCTGGTAGGCTAGTGAAACACATAAAACATTTTCCAGAATAATTGTTATATTAAGTAAAATATGTATAATTACTAAGGAAAATTATTATATTAGAATAATTGTGAATATATGAAAAAACTATAATATAAGCATATGTTTGTTATTGTAACATTATGTAACATTTTGATGAGTACTCATCTTTTTGGGTATTGATGATAAATTATGGAGATTTAAAAAGAAGTATAGTGTGACTTAAAAATATCTGTGCTTTATATTGGTTAAAAAAAAGTTTACATTGGGCCAATGCTGTTATAGTTTGCGGTCCTCATTTGCAATTGAGTGAAGCCTACATTTCATTAAGAGATTGAATGCTATTTTATCCGATCCAAATTCATAGGTACATTGAATTTTCTTCAGATGCATGTGAACCACAAATGAAAAGTATCTGAGAGTCTAATTTTTTTTTTACTGTATACTAGTATAAAACTGAATATACATGATGTGACACAGCTATTTTATTTGACTCAAAAGTTTATAACATTTAAAACTGGGTATCTTCTGCGTAATTTGTGAAATAGGTTGCTATGAATCTGTGATGACATTTAATGTGGTTCATAGTTGTTTTGGAGAAATTAGTATTGTATAATAAGCATATGATCAGATTTGCAATATGTAGCATCACTGACATTTTACTTTCCTTTGCAAAAGGAAACAATGCCTGTTTCCCAAGTCCAAATTATAACCCCTTCACATGGATGTTTTTCCTGGTTTCATGTCCTAACTACACCTATGAGGTATGTTATAAATACCTGAATTCCATTTATGATATACTATATGCATGTACTTGTGTAGTTGCATATATTATAAATTAATATATACAAGAATTGAGGTCTTATCTATAGATTCTGGAATAGGAAAATAGAACATTTCGATAACAATTTTCTCTGCAGAAACAAGAATATTTCTGCATAAGTTTATTTGTATTTAAAGAATATTTTAAAATCTTAATATAAAATGTTGAGATATTTTAGGAGTTTCATTTTATCAACTGTTTAACAATGTGTTTTATTTTCTTATGAACGTGATCCCATTTTATGAGATTGCTTGACTTTATTATATGTAAAAATTAAATTTTTTTTGAAAATGTATTCCTACCTATAAGTTTTCTAATATTTTAGGCCTTATAATTATCTATTAAAAGCCCCAAGTGAACAAATTACTAGATTACAGTTATGTATGTGCTAATTTAAGTTTTAATATAACAGATTGGATCATGGATTAGTTTCACAGTCATGACACAAACACTGCCAGGTAAGATCTAGATTTACTGACAATTAATCAAAATAAATGCATCTTTAGGAGAAATGGCTTCTGATAAAAAGTTATGATAGTACTAAAGTATAGCCTGTTTGCAAAAGGATTTTATAGTTTCATATTGATTTTGATTTTTAGCAGTTTTAAAAAATGTTGAAGTACTATTGGCTTTTTATCTCTGTGTAATTGTTGCTTAATCCAAGCTACGAATTGGATTCCAAATATATTTATTAAGCAACGAGGTTTTTTTTAGAAGAAGTTTTGGTAACAACATATATCGTTTGAAACTTTTCTTTGTGCATGTACACAGGCATGTGTATGTGTTTTGTCTTCAAAGGAAGAGTTGGGGTATATGAGAATTAATCTTGAATACTGAGTATTTTAACACACACTAAGAAGTTGAATTGCATGACTTTCTTATAGTAGTAGGGACATATGTCGTGTTCATTTTATCCATTTTGTTATATTGTACAAAAGTTTTGAATCACAATTAATAGGGTTTATTATATTATGTGCATGTAGAAGAATATTATATGCATCTAGGAAACTATTATTGAAAATTTTAAAATACAAAAATATATCCTTATATGAGAAGTAGTTTGTGGCAGTGATATATAAGACATGTAAATTAATTTTGAACTTGGTAACATATTTTATGTGTTTAATTATTCACACAATATTGATTGGCTATTGATAGGGAACGGGTGTGAATAATGGAAATTGTTACGAAATTATGCAACATTTGACAAACATCTTAAAAGTTAAACACAGTAGTGATGTCTTTTCTAATATAAATTTATTTTGTAGAAATAAGAAAGAAATAATAATTATTTCTTTTTCCTTCTAGTTGGAATTTTCACACTTCTGATGAGTATCCAGATGTCTTTGTGGGCACAAAAAAAACATAAGATTTACCTGAGAAAATTCAATTCATATATTCATAGAAAATCAGCAATGATTCCATTTATATTGTAAAAAATAACTTATCTTCTATAGAAAACGGCAATATGTAAATTCAATAAACGAGACTTAGTTAAGGATAGTTACTACTATATTTCAACAATTCATGAGCGACCACAAAATTTCACTGAATTTAGAGTAATACACAAGGTATTAAAAGTAAAAAATATAAATACAATTAACTAAGAATAGCGCTGAATTATATACATGGGATTGGTCCTTGAATAAAATTGTCTTCAGTAATACTTCACTATACTATTTGCAATAGACAATTAAAATATCACAGCAAAAAACAAATCTGATTAAAAAATGAAAAAGTAATCTGAATAGACATTTCTCAAAAGAAGATCTAGATACTGCTAATAGTATATTTTAAACATAATGAAGATTCAGAAAAAAGTGAACTCTTAAACACTGCTGGTGGGAATGTAAACTAGCACTGCCACTGTGGAGAACAGCATGGAGTTTCTTCAAAAATTACAAATAGAACTATCATATGATGCAGCAATACCACTACTGCACAAAGGAAATTTGTGTATTAAAGAGACATTTGCACCCTATATTTACTGCAGCACTATTGACAATAGTCAAGATACAGAAACAACCTAGGAGTCCAACAATAGATGAATGGATAAAGAAAATGTGACATATATATATATATATATATATATATATATATATATATATATATATATACACACACACACACACATATATATGCTCAATGGAATACTATGCAGCCATAAAAACTGAATTCCTGTCATCAGGAAAACATGAATGGAACAGGAGGACATATTTTAAGTGAAACACGCCAGGAACAGAAAGTTAAACATTGCACGTTATCACTTATATGTAGAAACTAAAAAAGTCACTGTCATAGAAGTAAAACATAGAACAAAGGATACTACAGGCTGGAAAGTTAGGGTCAAAGGGAGATTAACAGGAGATTTGTTAAAGGATATAAGGTTACAGCTTGGTCAGAGGAATAATTTCTGGTGTTCTATACCACTGTAGGATGATTATAGTTAAAAGCAATATATTCTATATAGTTTCAAATAGCTAAAAGGAGATTTTATGCCCAACACAATGAAATGATAAATGTTTGAAACTGTGGATACCCTAATTACTCTGATCTGATCACTACGAATTATATGTATTGAAACATTATTATGTATCTCCCAAATATGTTCAATTCTTATGTGGCTTAAAAAATAAAATTTAATTTAAAAAGTATCTGAATTCTAAAGTAAATATTTTTAAAAGTTTTGACATTTAAATTACTTGAATCCCACATTATTTTGACAACAATTTAATTCTTTTATTGTTTGATCTGCTAGGGAGATGTTTCATAGTTATGTCATTAGTTCAAATCCTTGTGGAAATTATATCTGTATTAAAAGTGAAATATTTTTATTAATTTGTATATCTTATTTATTAACTATATAGACATTGTATGCTATCATATTGGAATTTACAATTAAAATATTTTCTATATATGATTGTTAAATCTTTATACATATTTTGAAATATATATTTGTTTATATTTATATGTAAATTACATTTATATCTTCTGAAATATATTTCAAAAGATGTGTCTATATACTTGTGTTTATGTGTATGTATATACCCACATATATATATATACACACACACACACACACACACACACACACACATATATCACATATATATATATATATATATATATATATATATATTTCAAATGAATTCTATGCACTTGCAAAGGGAAAGTACATTAGTAATTTGAGGACATGAAGAGTAAAAAATTTTGGTTTTTATACATCTTTAAATACCTATGTTCTCTGAAAGCGTGTTTGTGTGTGTGTGTGTGTGTTTGTGTATGTGAGCATGAATATATACTTAAGAAAGAGATGACCTACATAAATCGAAGTACACAATATTTAAAATATTTAAAAGAAGTTTTCAATTTCTTCATTTTTAAATTGTGATTCCTTGGATTTGTCTATGAAGCATTTTTAATTCTCAGATTACACATATGTAATAAAATATGCTCATTAATGCTCTTAGATTGTCTACATATATGACAATATATACATATATGATATATTGACCTATAGTAAAGTAGGTCTATATGTACTGGGCAGGGACTGTCTATTGCTAACAAGTGTGGCCATTTAAGAAATAATAAAAAGCCCCTTTAAAAGCCTTATAATTCCCAAAGTATACGATTAAAATATCTCAGGAGAAAACAGCAACGAAATTCTAATTCCCTAATACCTATTCAGCTAAATTGTATGATATCATTTAATGATCTTAAAAGGAAGTGCATTAAATTATATATACCTAAGGCACTTACGTAATCAACTGCTTGTGATAAATAACCTTTTTTTGAAACTAAGAGTAGTTTTGTGTTTGTAACTGGATGCTGACAGATAGTAACCCAGGAAATTTGCGTATTCTTGTAAGACTAGAAGGTCTTTGTTGTGGCAGGAAATATGGGCTACCTATATAACAGACATTTTTCTTCCCATTGTGCTATATTCTCTTATTCCAGTTGCTCCATCCTATTTTTTTCGTATCAGTTATTTCCCTTATTTTTGGTAGACGTATCTTAAAGGATACCTTAGTTATGGAGTGTTTCTTTTAAAATTTACTTCTCGTTTTTATTTGTAGGTGGTCTCACTGCCTAAGACATGAAAAGAAAAAGCCTGACAAACTTACACCATCTTGTTATCAATGTTAATGCTACAGATTAGTCCTGCAGCAGCCATGTACACGTTTTCAGCCTTTAAAACCTAACCTTCATTTATAAATGTTAAGAGTTACTATACCTAAGTACATATACATATGAATATGTATATGAGTGTGTGGGTAAATGTACACACTTTAGGAACTTTAATAATACTTTCCAAATTAATATATAAGATTTAGATAAATAATAAGTTTGCATTGGTGACTAAAAATGTGCATTTATCTTAATATAAAACAAATCTGTGTGATCTCTTATACTCATGTTTTTTTGTCACATATCTAGGTAACAATTTTAGCCTATGGAGTATTTTGCAGGAACAGCATTCCATACTGCATAGATTAGTTGTAGGTATATCAATTATATTTACATGTCAGTGTGCTTGGTGCTTTGTGGGGAAAGTAGATTTAAAAAAGAGATTTTAAATATAAAGTTGAAATAAAACATTAAAAAGTTGAAATCAAAAATAAAATATGACAATTATTTACAGTAGATGTCATAATTTGATCATATTCATAGAAAAAACATTAAGGAAAACTATAAATGAAGAAAAAATGTACATACACACTACATAGATTATCAATAAAATTGTTACTATAGTTACTTGTTGAAGTAATATGCTGTCCTAAATATGTTTCATTATACCTATTTTCACAGAGTCAACACTCTCATCCTATAAACAAAAGATACATTATCAAATTCTAAAATTCTTCACAATTGTGATTTTTATGTCAAGGTAAATATTATAATATTAGCAACTTTTAAATACTATACTTTTACTAGAGGGAGGCATATAGACCTTCTTTCTAATTTAATAAGCTACGTATATATTTGATATCCTTTTAAAAGCAATACAGAGTTTGGCAAAGGTTTTGCCATTTGTGAAAGGCACACATTTGATGCTATTAAAAGCCATAGTAACTGAAGAACAGTTCTATAATACTTCCATTTCACATGTAAATTTTATAGTCTATATATTGATGGATTCATGTATGAGATTGAGGGTCAGATGAGGCAAACAGTGAGAGGAGAAAAAGTTACAAAGCAACCTCTGCTTTTTAGATAGCTTGCTTATTTAAGAGACAAAATGAGTTCAACTTCAATTAAAATATTGCATATTTGCTCGCTTAATTATTATGTTAAACCTTAAATATTCTTTATAATAAGCATGTCTTTGAACATGACATAAAATGGACAGCTGTGAGTGTGAAACTTTCCATGATGAGAGACATTTTAGCCTCATCACAAGAAGATTTTGCTCTTATCAAACCATCTCATATTTCTTTTTGACATTTGTAATTATGTCTGTGCTACTTAAATTTTTTTAAACATTCTGGAATTTTTGACATTTTGTTGTAACTGTTGCCAAATTTATAAATGTCAGATGACAAATGTCCTTAAAAAGTGTTTCCCAATAATTGTGCCTAAAGAAATACAATTGTCATCAAACTAATTTGCATTAAATGAGACCATAAATCGTCCTCTTCCTGCTGAAAACTGTAAACCTTGAATTAAAATCAGATCAACAATTTGCATTCTTGCAATGTAGAAATCAGTTCATTTTTTTAACCACAGGAATTAAAGACTGCCTGGAATAATTGTTTCATATAATTATCCCCAAAATATTTGCAAAAAACAAACAAACAAACAAACAAAAAAGAAGTATTTTTAAAATGCCGTATCTTTTTCTCTCACAGTATTTTCATTAAAAAATAGCTGGAGAGAGAAAAACAAACAAGACAAAACAAAACAAAGATACACATCAGCTGAATCTACGCAACAATACAGCATACCGCTTCCAGTGCCCAGTCCTTCTACCTCATTTCTACTTTTTCTACCTCTAGTTATTACTTTTAAAATGTATTCTATTTGACTGTATGTGTGTATTTTCAATTTTTTGCTAACTGTGACTCAAGATACACTGCAGTGCATTTTGTTTTTTAGCCACACTCATGGAAAAAATGTTTCTCTCTGACTCATACACAGACACACAAACAGATCAATTTTAAGCAACATTACTTCTTAAATGAAGCATACCAAATGCAAATAGTCTCATTTTAAAAATGTGTATGTTCAGTTTTATTTCTCCACTATTTCCAAAATCTAACCCTAACAAAATAGTAAAATTCAGGATATTTAAATATTGTATATATGCCCATTACCTTTCTTCCAGTAATTAAACATATTTTCAAAAAATTTAAGTTCAATTTTAAGTAACTAGCATTCAGTACATGTTAAATTTTGGCAGTTGAAATATGTCAGTTATAACACTTGTGCTCATACAAAAAAAGGTTCATGAATCAATAATGAGGATTTCTATTTTTATTTTTATTAAAAACTAAAATCTTGAGGTTGCTCCTGAATGTTTGAGGTGATTGTAACAGTTTTGCTTTGTAAATGCAATTACAGGTATTTCTGCAGTTTTTGCATAATGATAATAATTTAAAAACTTATTTTAAAAGCTGCTTAAAAGTTAATTTTCGGCAGGTGCATAATGAAGCCTATAATTCGGCCTCCTTCAGAGGAGGTTTGATTGTGAAAATACACAGAAGCATTTCCTGAGACAAAAGTTCCAGCTAAAATGGGATTTTGGTTTTTTTAATTTTAGTTTGCTAATGATTCTTGAAATGTGAGGAAATAAAAATCGCTCGGAAACATTTACAAAACAAATGCATAGTTATTTATTTTATTGAGAATATGGAAGACATTTTCATCCCATGTGTTTGGGAAATGAAATCCTGTAGTCTGGTGTAAAAAAATAAAACCATAAAAAAAATAAGAAGTATTCTCAACAATCCCAGTGCATAATTTCTGGTTTATCCCATTGTTCTATCCCCTGGTAAATCGAATTATTTCTGTCACAGGGTACTTTGGGAGTCGCTTCACCCAGCCAGAAACCTCTGTGGCTGGTGGGGCCTCTGCCTGAGTTTTGATCACACCTGCAGAACTTTTTCTCCCCACTGGGACCAACAGGTTGCACTTGGCTCCCACTAACAGCCTGACTTCCATACCTGCTGAGTGAGGGTGAACTAGAGGCGGGGCTGCGAGGGTTGTGTATGCAGCAAGCAGGTGTGGGTTCCAGCTACTGCGCAGAGCAGGGCACTCTGGCTGCTTTGGTGCAGCGGGCAGTTTCAGGTATCTACACAGGTGCTGGTGTTGTAGAAGGCTGCAGCTGGACCAGGCATATAGCAAGCAATTTCTGCTGCAGGTGACCGGGTCTGAATGAGGGGAACATGGGGAACGTGGTGGCACACACAAAAGTTGGAGATGTTAGCAACTGCAGAACGCTAAGGGTTGGTGGGGAGTGCTACAGCTCTCTCATTCCTAATGCCAGCATCTCAGCACTACGGGAAGTATTTCAGCTTTTTTAGTCTCTCCCCCTTGTCCCACATGGAGCTTCCTGGCTGTCTCGGCCCTGCCTCCACTTCTCATCACATGGGGTGGCCACTGAGGGCTACAGTGTTACAGCTCTGGCTTGGGGAATCCCGAGGTCTGGGCCCTGAGAAGGGCTGCCGCTCTTCACTTTCACAGCCCGATGAACGGGAGTATGTGAGCGGGAGTGTGTCCACACCCACAGCTTGGCGAGCTGGCCAGGAATGTGTACAGCCCTTTTGAGTCCTGCCCACAACTCAGTCAGAAGGCCAGGAAAATGTTACAACCTTTTCAGCTTCCGCCATTCCGTGGGGCCCAAGCTCTTACCCACATCCAAAAAGAATGAGGTCACACCAACGACTGGAGGGTGAGCAAGGCAGAAGACTTTTACCCAGCGACAGAACAGCTCTCAGCAGAGAGGAGACCCAAGTAGATAACGCCTACCTGCTGGGGTTTGTCCCTATGTGTGTCTGAGTCTGCCTTTGTTTGGGGGTTTTTACTGGACTCAGAATGGAGGAAGTACATGCTCACTGGTTCATGGGCAGGAGGAAGTGTGTGCTGATTGTTTCGTGAGTGGGCCTGGAAAAAGCATCATTTGATTGGCGAAGACAGGCATCAGAAATGTTTCTGCTTGGGGCTGTTGTCCTTTCTCTGTAGGAATACAGGATAAGCATACTGAATGTTTCCTGAAAGTAAATACGTATTAATCTTCTAGATGTTACCTTTTGTCAGAACTCAGAGTTATGAATAGCCCTTGACATACTGATGCTTTCTGACTGAGCTCTTCTCTACCCGGAATACAAGAGACCCTGCTAATTAAGTAGGAATATCATTGCCCTTCCTCAGCCTGAAGAAGTTACAGCAGATGGATATTCGTTTCTCTGCAATTTTTAGGATTGAGTTCTCATGAAAAAGCGAGGGGGAAAATGTCAGAGGCATTTGAACCGGTGCAACTCCATCTTGAACAGGGGCTGGATAAAATAAGGCTGAGACCTACTGGGTTGCATTTCTAGAAGTTTAGGCATTCTAAGTCACAGGATGAGATAAGAGGTCAGCACAAGATATGTCAAAAAGACCACGCTGTTAAAAAGTTTGCAGTAAAGAAGCCAGCTGAAACCCATGCACCACGACAAAGATAACTCTGAATTGTCTTGGCTTTTGATGCCACAATGAAAAACGTATTTATATACCTATAAGTCAGGCCACTTTCAATATTTTTCTAGATTATCCTGCCATACTGAGTTTTAACTCTGGATTGGAAATGGAGAACTTGGTGTTACTGTATGAAGTGGTTCCATACCAGCGGCAGTTCTTAACTAGAGCCTAATTTCTCATTTCTTCATACTCTAGGCTCTTGCATCTGTGGAAACATTTCCAAATTTCTCCCCAGTTTATCATTTATTTGTCCAGACAATATTTTATTTACTATTTTTGAGGCACTTTCAGCATTTGAATATATATAATCTCTATTCATATAATGGCATCACTATCCAAAACAATTTTACACATAGCAACAACAGAACAAAAATGCATGAAAGGAAATTATTCTTTTAGCTATTTTACAATTTTACGTATTTTATTTTAAGTAACAGTTTTCTCTTGTGAGTTGATAACCTACCCCTCTGATTTTAATAAATGTGTCCTATTACAGGTGAATCAGTACATGTATACTTTTAAATGTTATGACTCTAGTTATAATTACTTGTCACTATCTATTAAGAATGTCCAACTCAGTTAACATGGATTTCAAGTAAATTCAAGGGTAAGTGAAAAAGATTATCTGCCTTCTGGTAATACCAATCTCTAAGCCAACTGACAGGCAATATATGAGGCCAAATTTAAATTTTCACTGAAGAGATTTGTCTAATCTTACTTTCACCAGCCACCGTAGATGGCTGATGAAGCTACAAAATCATCTTTAAAGGTGATCTAACTGTCAAGTTTTCCATAAAACTTTCCCTAGTGTGGTTCCTTATTTTCATCATGTTTTCTGGCCACTTATGGTTGTTGTTTTTTCCGGACTCTCAAATATTCTCAAGTAATTATATTCAAAAATACTGTTATAGGGGTTCATATACCATATATAATATTATATGTACTTATCTGTCTGCCTTGGTAGATTGTGTATACTGTGCATTTCTGGAAGGCATAAATTAAGTCTTAATAATCTTTGTATCTTCAGTAATGAGCAAATATTACACACACTACCAGGGTTTAATCTATAGGTGACATAACTATAGCAGTGTAGTTTTAGGCCCCTCTCCTTCTATTTTTATTTTTAACTTGGAATGTTGGAATAAAAGTTACTAAGGCAAAATGAGTTTCTATTCTACAA